TGCACCAGAGAGCAAAGGAGGGATGTCGTGGCCTATCCTCCCGTTCCTGCCCCGGCACGACCCTCATTCCGTGATGATGCAGCCATTGTGCCCCCGGTTGAGCCTCCACGAAGGAGCAAACGCAGGCCTTTGCCTACGTTCGAAGAGGTGCGTACCACTCAAGAAACCGAGCTCCCCGAACCGTTCGAGTACCAGTGGGCACCTACAGCGGATGCCGGTGGAGGCTCATCGAGTCGTGGGGGATCTCAGGAATGGGACACTTTCTCTCATGGGTTCTCTCAATTCCAACATCAGCAACAAAGTTCGATGTTTCAGACCCCGCAACAACAAACTCCGATCATTCGTCAAGCTACCGCTCCAACTCAGCCACCACCACCACCATATGTAACCCCAGTTGGGGCTCGAGTCAAGAGAAATCCGCGACCAGCCGTTGAGCGAGCCCGCCGAGAAGCAGCGGCGGAGGGGGGAAGAAGGGGTCGAGGACGTCGTGGAGGACGAGGAGGAAGAGGTGGCGATGGGGGCCAAAACGAAGCAAATTAGTGAATTTATCGTTTTATCATTGTAGTGAACTATCAATGTTGTTTTTGTGATTTTTTAGATGTTGTTATTTGAGTTTGCATTGTCTAAAAACTATCCTACGCACTTAAGTTGTCGAATGAATTTTCTGGATCATTTTATCAAGAATCAGTATCTTTCCTCAACACAAAAAAGTTGGGCAAATCAACCACGATCGCATAGAATTTTACAGATCCCAATTCCGAGTCCAAACGAGTGAGATAAGTGACGTCAAAGCGTGATCGTATCGTTAAAGTAACTTTTGCGTACTATAAACTAAAACGCCCGTATCTTATTCGTTTGAGGTCGAAATAACGAGCCGTTTGCGGCCGCGCGATCGTATCGACAAGGAAAACATTTTTGATTTAACAAAATACTTGGACTTCAAATGCAAACGTTAATTAAAAATTAAACAAGCGATCAATTTAGTAGCAGAATACAAGTAAATGCAAATTAAGTTGATGGTTGTCCTGGGCAACGCCTCTTGTCGTGACCAGGTTGTCTGCACTTAGAGCATCGTTTCGGTCCCCTTCTCGTCCGTTCAACTTGATCCATCTCATTGTGTATCCTTTCAACTCTAGGACGGCCTTTGGTGCGTTTTAGGTGCAACGGTGGGATAATCAACTTTCCAGCGTATATAGGCCAATACGCTTCATCTGGCATGGGGGTCAAAGCTGCATGATATGAGTTCCGTATCGCTTGTTCAGTGTAGTAAGGACTCACCAGGCTGTTTCTGTTCATGGTTATTGACTTAGCAACCGCCATTGCATGTGAACAGGGTATCCTTTCGTTCTGATACTTTTGACAAGAACACTCCCCTAATTCGTAGTGCAATTTGACCGTTTGACGATTGTGACCACGTCTCCCTCCACCCCATATACCTGTTTCGACAGCGAATATTCCTTCACTGCGGTTAAAAAGAACAACCTTATGCTTACTTGATTTTTCATCGTTCTTCTGCATTTGAGCAAATACGTCATGTGCTATTGAATGACCTTGCAACTCCCTCCCTATAGCTAGCTGTAGCCGAGCAACTCGCCACTCGTTGACCTTCCAATAAGACATTTCCACGATGACAGAAATAGGCATCGCTCGAAGACCCTTGTAAACATTATTTATACTTTCTCCATGGTTGGTAGTTGCAATGCCCCATCTAGCCCCGTTGTCCATATGGAACGTCCACATGGGCAACTCTTGACCTTCAGCCCATACTGCTCCAGCTCGGTGGGTCTGACGGATCGTTTTCATGATCTGCTCGTACTTTTTTGGTTGATGTGCAACCGCTAAAATGTGAACAAAAGACTAACTGGTCAATACATGATGAATAACATCAGCTTATCAGCTTAATAAACACAAACTTAAATCGCATAAGAAAAACATGAGTACCTGCATTCCAAAGTAGATTTTTGATGTCTTTCTTCTTCCCAAATTTGTGTTGGAAATTGGCGAGCCAGTGCCGAATACACCATCTCCATCTCCACCCCCACTCGTCGGGAAAACCACCAACAGCATTCCTTATCCCCGCATGTCGATCGGATATAATCGTAATATCTTCCCGCTGTGTCACGTGTTCGTGCAGTTGGTCAAAGAACCAAGCCCAACTTAAACTGTTCTCCCCTTCCACTAATGCAAATGCAAGCGGGAAAATTCGCCTATTTCCATCAACGCCAGTGGCAATTAGAAGACATCCTCTGTACTTCCCAGTAAGGAAAGTTCCGTCAACCTGAATAAAAATTTAGAATATAATTAGTATGAAATATGCTTAACAGCAAATAATACAACATTTAAAACCGGAACTAGTTGGTAAAATACCTGAATAACCGGTATGCAGAACCCAAAACCGTCAATGCATGGTTTAAAAGCCCAAAAAAGACGATGGAACATCAGCTTATCCTGTACTCGAACTTGATCCTCAGTGTATACATTGTTGTATACTGGGACGAAAACAGTCCCAGGATTGGACTCCTCCATTGCTCCCATAAGTCTAGGGAGTAAAGCATACGAATCCTCCCAATCACCATACACCTCAGCCATGGCTTTCTGCTTACCATGCCATGCTTTTTTGTACCTTATCGTGTAAGAATGTCGATCCTTCACCTCTGCCATGATAGCTTTTACCTTGATATCTGGTTGTGCTTCTATAAGGTGCTTAATAGTTCTCCCAACCTTCTTTGCTTTTAGTTGCCTGTGATCTTGGGAAAGTATAGAAGAGGAGCATGTGTGGATCGTCTCAGCTTTGCGAATCACCCAAGCACCCTTTCTCTTCATATTTGCAGCCCGCAGTTGCCACGTACAACCCTCTGCATCATGCTTGCATATGACATGTAATTGTTTACTGTCAGAATATTTTACCTTCCACTCGAAATTGCGCCTCAACGCCTCTTCTGTAAATGCATCCTGCACAGCGTCTTTCGATGTGAACGCCATACCCACCTCCAGATTGGCCGTTGGATTGTACACTGGCATAGGGACAAAGTCGGGGGGATCATTCTGACTATGTAAAAATTGAGTTGGAACCTGTGTGTAATATGGCGTGGGTGCCTCACGAAATGCCGCCTCATCCTCGTTATCATCAGTATCTTCCTCCTCCTCGCTCACTGATATCAAATCTTCCTCAGTATCCTCGTCGTTTGACTCGAATGGATAGCTCGAGCTAGAAGGATCAACATGACCACGATCACCAACATCGTCCTCTCGCTCATGTGAAGTACGCCCTGATCGAATGGTATTCTCGATTCCATACCACTCTGGCCCCCAAGCAGGCCATTGAACACCATCGGCCTCAACAAATGGGGCTGGTTTAGGAGGTTGCGAGTATTGGTCCCATCCTGCACTACTCGATCCACCGTAGTTGATTGAACCACCACCCTCCCCGTAACCTCCTGTATAACCACCGCCTTGGTAGTTGCTCGAACTACCACCCCATTCGTACCCTCCTGCAAAACCATCATCATAAGAATACTGGTGAGAATGAGATTCACCGAGCGCCTCGGTCTCAACATACACCTCTGCAAGCCGGACTTGGTTATCGCTTAGGAACTGTAACATCATCATAACCGCGTCATCATCGTTTATGACAACTTCTTGGAACACGACCCCGCCAGCACTCATGTCTGGATACCGGTAAGTAATTTTGCCAAGTCTCGTCTGTCCGCTCGTACAAACCCTTTCTGCACAAAGATCATAGAGTTCTTGAAAATTGAATCGGGATTCAATTTTCAGCATAATGGATTCGCCGTCCTCATAATCAATGCCTATGTCAGAGTTTGTCACCCTTCCATTCCACCGAATAGTAAGATGAAACTTCTTGAATTTACCCATATCTACAATTTACAATAAATATCTATTAGCTTAAAGACAGTAAAATTAACCAAAATCATATTGTACAACTAATATTAAATCATACCATAAGTAACAAAAATAAATTCAACTAACTAACAACAACATAATACGAAAATTAAATCATACTATAACTAACGAACATAAGTTCAACTAACTAACAACAACATAATACGAAAATTAAATCATACCATAACTAACGAAAATAAATTCAACCAACAAACAACAACATAATACGAAAATTAAATCATACTATAACTAACGAATATAAGTTCAACTAACTAACAACAACATAATACGAAAATTAAATCATAATACGAAAATTAAATCATACTATAACTACTAAAAACATAATTAGACCATAATACGAAAAGTCTCAACATACCGAAAAATTTATGTTCTGTGTATTATGCTCGATTTTGGCTGCTGAAATTTGAAGAAAGGGGAGTGGTTATGTTTTTACAACTCCTGGTGGTGTGGTATTTATAGGAAAATCTGCCTACTATTCACCGTTTTTGACAAAAACGGTGAACACTATCACCGCGTTTGTCTCAAACGGTGAATAGGTGGTAGCTGCGACCTAATTTTGACCTACCAGGGGTGGGAAACGTGGGAAATGATCACCGCGTTAGTTAACAACGGTGAAGGCTTCACCGTTTTGGTCAAAAACGGTGAAGCTTTCACCGTTGTTAATTAACGCGGTGAAAGCTTCACCGTTTTGGTGTGAAACGGTGAAGTATTCACCGTTTTTGTTTAAAACGATGAAGTGTTCACCGTGTTTGTCAAACGCGGTGATGATCTTCACCGTGTTTGTCAAACGCGGTGATGCTCAAACATGTGTACTTTGGGAATTTTTTTTATAACTCATGTATTTTGAGAATTTTTTTTAAGAACGTGTGTACTTTGGGATTTTTTCCTCTATTAGCTGATATGAACAAAAGACTCCACGGCTTGCCACGTCATAATTTATATCTAGAGTTCTTGAATATGATTTTAATTCCACTGACAATACAAACACTTCAACAAAATTTGACATAACACCACCTTTCTCTCTCCTGTGATCTTTCCCTCGCATTACATCTATAAATGGCAGTCGATCATTAAGCTTAACCCTTCAGTTTCTTACTTTTCGCCTTCCCAGTTTTACTGGATTTCCTTTTCTTTGTCCGAGTTGTATCTTCCAACGCTTCACCATTATTCTGAGCATGATCTTGCTCTTCTTCCTCTCTGCTGCCTTTTCGATCTTCCTTTGCATCATCAACATCTGCCTCCACTACCCCCATTCCAGCCAGAGAGTAGTCGACCAAATACGTACTCCTCACAACTCGGTCTATCCTGCTGAAATGCCTCTGTGTATATGGAATCAGTCCCTCAAGCACCTCGCCGATACCCTTTATCTGTAACCAAAAGGACAATGGACCAACTAGAGACATTCAGGCTACGTTTGGCCTGGCCATAGGTCTTTAAAATGGAGCTTCGGGCAGGAGCTTCTAGCAAAACTAAAGTTTGGGAAAAAAAATTTGTCGGCCATTTGGTGGCTAAACGATTAACAGTATTCACTCACCTCGAGGATCACTAATGGAGAAATGCTGTTGAATACTTGAAACAGCACCAGTTGAGCGATATGACACATCTTCGGTTTTGTGTTCCACTCGCGGGCATATTCGAAAAGCAGACGCAACTGTTCCTGCCCAAGATCACAGAGAGCTTTCTCCATCTGGTGGCGATCATCTTTCTTCCTGTTGCAGAGTGGGAGAGTAAGTGGGCATAACACAACATCAACAGCTCGACAGGGATAGTTTCTCTTTTTTACTAACCTGCAGATTTCAGAAAATAACTGAAAGAGTTTCCGAGGCCTATTGAGGTCAAATGCTATTTGGATAGCCTTTGAGAAATCACCATCTTGTACAGCATTCTCCAATGTTTGGCCTTTTAATACACGTTCCTCCTGCACAAATGTGGAGAGGTCAATTGTCGGTAACGTGAAAATTTGAAGGCCCGACACCACAATTTATGTGACCAATCACAAATAAGATTGAAAGGAGGTTGCAACAAGTGTGTAGCTTAAATATCTGAAGCAACACCAAACTAGGTTCCCTAATCGTCCTAGATTAGCACAGAAAGAGATCTAGAAAGAAGGTTTGGACCTTCTCCTCGTGGATTTGATGAAGCTGGCTGACTATAGTAAGTAAAAATTAAACAAAGCGTGATTTTGGAATATGTTAAATGGAAATAGATTCACCTCTTCACGGAATGCTTCCTCCTTGTCAGCAGCAGTTGAATCATACCACAGATTGACTACAGCATCACCACCACCAGTTGCAAACATTTCTGTCTTTTTCCCAATAGCTAAGGCCCAAACCTAAAGAAAGAGCGAAATAAATTATATAAGATATTCCAGAGGATCTTTGTTGGAGAAACATAAAAGCAAGGGACCATCACTTTAAGTGTTATCCATCACCTTGTCCTCGTGTTGATCATATGTGGCAATGCATTCGTTTGTTTTAATTGTCCATAGTTTGACCAATCCATCAGCTCCTGCAGTCATTAGGAGGATTGATTAGAACCAAGATAATGCAATGACCTATGATGAATGGCAAAAAACATGAGGACGGAGCAAGCTCTCATTACCGCATGAAACAAATTGGGTGCCGCGAGTGAGAAATGATGCTCTCAATACACTTGATGTGTGACCTTCAAATGTCCTAATGCAGGATCCATCAGCTATGCTCCATATCTTTATTGTTGCATCACCTGATCCTGTTATGACACATGGATCAACGGGAGAAAACTCGACTGACCAAACTCCTCGCTTGTGTCCTCTGAGTACGACCACTGACACCAGATCTGGTAGCCTCCACACACAAGCAGTGCGGTCCTGAAGGCCCAGAAAAATGGGGGGAACTTGGGAATTAGTTCACGAAATCGCTTATGACTACACAAGATACAACAAATTGCTGACATCCTCTACTAACCTGCGAACCAGTACACACGAAACGATCATTTGGTGCCACTGCCAGCGAATTTATATCCTTATCATGGGCAGCTACAACTGCTTTCGCTTTCAAACCAGTTGGTTGGTCAACATCATAAGAGATGCCATCGAAACTCCAAACTTTGATTGTACGGTCGCTATCAGAAGGAATAAGTTAATTAGCACCTAGTTTATAAAAAAAACTCAGGTAATTCATGCCACATGAAGAGGAAGCACTTAGCAAAGCATTAATAAACAATAAAAAGATTCAGCAAAAGAGCAATATACCAGAAACACAATATACTAATATAACCAAAGCAATCACAGTTTGGAGACATATAAACGGAATGTCATCTAAATTTTTTACTGAAACTATTAGGTATCTGCATCCATACAGAGGCCTCCTTAAACCTTGCTATTAGGTTTCGCGGGAAGCACTCACCTGGAACCACTAACAAGAAAGTTTTTCTCCTTCCTTGAAAATGCAACAGCACCAATGCCTCCCATGTGACCCTTGCCAATACCAACACATTTCCGGCTTTCTGAATCCCACAACCTAACCTGCAATTTTGTTAGAGAAGATCCAGAGATTAAGGAACTAAACCAGGAAGTAGTACAATACCAAGGACAATTCATTGCAATTATGTGCAAACATGATTAAAATTAGCAGGGGATGGCAGTAAACTTACCGTATTGTCCTTGCTTCCTGTTGCAATAAGTACCCTTCCACAACTTAAAATGCAAGTATCAAGACATAAGATAATGTCTGCATGACCTGACAAAACATAGGAGCATGACTTAGATGCCAAGTCATATACTCGGACCTGCATTGTTCACACCAGAACAGGTATTAGTCATCACAGTCCCTGTAACAAAATGTTAAATTCAAAGCAGGCAGGCAAGAACTTTTAGATTTCAAAATCATACAGCTTTTCTTTGAGACAAGCAGAACCTATAAATCTTTCACAACTTTTGCCGATCCAGTTTCTCAAACAAAAAAGTAATCCATACAAGGTGTTGAGAATCTTAATTCACCATTTTCTTTTCAGTTATGTTAAATTATTAACTCTCTGTCTAACACACATATGGCATCTGTCAGTCAACTTCTTCGAACATCAAACCCCGTAGAATAAAAGAGCTTGCCTGTTCAAGATTTGTAGCAACAGCAAGAAAGTTTTCCTCCTCGCCCAAAAATTTCATGTCGAGTATTTCCTCATTGTCGCCAACAAGCCTCTTGGTTAATACCAACTGTCCATCAGCAATCGAAGAGTAGAATAGAAACTGTTGATCAGCAGTCACAGAAACCAATCCTCCATCACGGGGAAGAATTACAGCACCAGTGAAGCCTCTTTTTGACTCATCATCAATTTCAGAGGTGACTGTGACATCTGAGGACTTCTGCTCATACAAACACACTGCACTGGCAAGACAGATGAAATGTGAGAACATTTATAGAACATGCTGAAACTCAAGTAACACCAAGAGGAGAAACCAGAAAGTCAAAAGTATATAACAGGCAACCAGTAAAAAGAGTTTTTGCCCCTTCCTCTCAGTTGTGTTTTCCTTAAACAAGTATTGTTTAACAGAATTTACCGTTCAGAGTTCCATATTCGTAAAATGCCACGTTCACCAACTGTGACATAATGAATTGCTGATGTATCACTAGTGCCTTTTCCATTATGTGGACTGAGTGCACCCAGAAATGAACTAAAGAGGGTCCCGGTGTGAATTATACATATAGCTTCTAACACCTCATACGCAGGTATAGTCGTCTTGAAGGCATAGTCATGCAGGTCCCACACATTCACAACCTGAAATAATAGTATGTTTGGTAAATAAAACAAAGATAAAAATCTATCGAAAAGGAAGATCATAACTGAGGCGGCAGCAGAAACCTCATGATATCCAAGCAAGCAACATCTAAACTAACATCTAATGTCCTCATTTACGGTTTGAAGTCAAGAAGCATCATGAAAACATGTCAATAAATTTGGCAAAACAAATTACATCCTTACCTTATCCCTTCCAGCAGTGAGCAATGTCCAACCATCTTCAGAGACTGCCATAGATGTCACAGTTGAAAAATGCTTCGCTAGTGTCGCTACACACTTCTTTCCAAGAAGATCCCAAACTCGTACAGCTCCATCATCACTTCCAGACAGAAGCTAACAAAGAAGGGGGGAAATGAGGATTGACAGACATTTGAAACAGAGCAAACCAAAGATACATGAACGAAAATAAAAACTAATACATGACAGCTTTTAGTATCAAAACGAAAATCTTTCCTATGAATTCATGGTAGACAAACACAAGACAGATGAACAACATGATGTTTTTGTTTATCTTCCTGTGCAATAAATAGGTCCTTGGCAACCAAAGATTGTAACTGGGCCAAGTTCCTTCCTTTCAGTTTCTTGTGTGGTTAGCATCATTTCTGATGAGAATTGCTCTACCAAATCAGCATTCCTTGAACAGGGTTTCCCAGCACTTTCAAGAAAATGTCTTTCCAAAGCAAGCAGTAGAAAAACATCCCGTGAACTCCTTTCCATTTGTCTTTCCATTTGACTAACCAAGGCTATTCTTCAGTCGTAAAAACATATGAACCAGCAGCGAAGATAAAAGACTCCATAAACACTGTTACATTTAAATCCTAAGAACGCATACTTACAAGAGATCGATTATGATCAGGATGGAACATAATACAAGTGACAACCCCTGTATGCCCTTTGAAGAAATGAGTACAGAAATGGCCATCCACATCCCACACAAGAACTTTTCTATCAGCTCCTGCAGTTGCAAGCAACCCTCCGGAGGCATGGCACGCCATGGCCATAATCGGACCATCATGGCCCTGCACAAACAGGCATAATCCCCATGATCAATCAAGCTCATCCTTAATTGCAGAATGAATTACAACTAACGAAAAAGGAATATGCCTTACCTTCCAAGAGCGCTCACATTTCAGAGTGGACAAGTTCCAGACTCTAATTTGCCTGCTGTGGCCGGCAGAGAATAGCAGTTTATCATTGGGGCTAAGCGTGAGCGCCGTAACAGCCTCGTTGTTGCCCTCGATGGTACCCTTTATCGAGAAATCACCAGAATCAACAATGTTGATGGTTTCGCCACAAGCACAGGCGATGAAAGAGCCATCAGAGGAGAAAACGAAGGGACCACCAGTGTAGACCTGCTGCAGCGTCGGCACGCAGCGGTAGTTCTTCTTCGGCTGCGGAAGAGCTGACATGGAGACTAATTTCTTGCTCGCCGGTCTTTGGGGAACGGGAAACTTGTTTGCTAGGTTAGCGGCAGCAAGAAGACGTGAGAAGCGCCGCCAGGATTTGCGGAGAAGCAGGGCAGCTAGGAAGGAGACGGCGGAGGGTATGAACGGCCGCTGTTTAGGTTTGTGACTTGTGTTGATGGCGGCAGAGGAGAGTAAGCGAGCTGCCGAGTGGGAAAGAAAGGAATTAGGGATTTAGCGGGGTTTTAGAGTAATGGGCCGGTTGTGTTGGATAGGACCGTTTTTAACCAATTGACCCAAAGAGCCTCGGTCAACCTAAGAACCAACCGGTTTAAATCTCGATCAATATAATAAATAAATGGTTCTTCGTTTATAGGGTCATTTCGGGTGAGAACCACTACTATATGCAATGGTAAAAAGAGTAGAAAACACCCACCAATTGTAAATTATTTTTTCAACTTGATCTGTCAAAAGATTTTACTAGCTTGCAAATCTCTTATGGTGCACTGCATACTAATTGAGAACACAAATTTTTTAAGCAATGGTTTATTAATGATGAACTGATTAACATATCTAGTTTTAAAACTTCAATAAACAAGACAATAGTGCATTCATCAAGTAAGAACTACTACAAAACCAAACTTCAAATAATAAGTTTAGATTAAAGAGGGAGAGGCCGTCGGAGGGAGAGGTTGGCCAGAAAGGTGAGTCTGGTTGTTTGAAATTAGTAAGAGGGTGACCATCATCAAGAGTGAAAGGAGGGTGAAATCGTGAGGAAAAAGAGACAATTGTGAATTTGTTGTTGATTTTTTCAATGAGTGAGTGTTAGAGGCATATAGGCGGGTCCAAGATAGGGTCAGTAACAACTGGTTACTGACCTATCAGTAACCACAACCACACGGGAGCCGTAGATCTGGGGATGGAGCAATCGTGTGGCTGGGCCGGATGCGGGCTGGGGAGGGGCGAGTCTTAGTTTGTTAGATTAGGGTTAGCTGGTTAGGGACGGGGGTCGGGTTCCACAGAAGCTTGGCCATGGGATGGGATTGTGGATTGGACTGAGTTGGGTAATTGTAATTAGGTTATGGGCTAGCATGGGTTCGGGTTGTGGGATGAGAGCGGAGGGCCTGAGCTCTTTAGACGAGTGGGATGAGCGGTAGTCAAAGCTTGTGGTGGTAAAGGCTTTTAGTGCAATCATGATTTTTTTTATTTGAATGTTTTAAATCGGATCGATCCTGACAAATTTTCTATCAACTCTAGTGACAGGAAACCAAATCTGAATAGCACAACCCAATTCGATTGCAATTGATTTGGTTTATACTATCTGGTTTCTGGTTTGACGAGGAATCATGACCGAATTCCCAACCCTAGTATTCTTCATGAAGCTTATGATTTATGAACTACTCCTCTAAAATTACTTTCTTGATTATTGGACGCTGACACAAATATGAAAAAAAATATTATTCTCCATCCTCAATAGGTTAGGGTATATGGTTGACTCAAGTTATGGTGTAACACCCTGATATTTGGGTTCAGGTTTGACCAAAAGAAATAAACGGTTAGATGGACGATTACGTACGAGTGGGTGCAACCGTGAATTAGAAATTATTATTATTATTATTATTATTATATTATTATTATCATTATCATTATCATTATCATTATCATCGCCATAATTATCATTGGGGCCATAATTATTATCATCATCTCCATCATTCACACCACGTTACCGCCAAAAAGGAAGAAAGAAAAAAAAAAACCCTAACCACTTTACGCTACCCCATTTCCCTCTCTCCCTCGGTCTCTTTATTTCACTTCCTTTACTTGCTCTTCCTTTCATTTTAATTGCCCACGTAACTGAGAGAAGCAGTAGGAATCCTATTGCCACTCTCCCGATTATTTCCCCAACTTAGTGCCTCCTTACCATGAGCAGAACCAGCAGTCGTGTCGTCCATCATCTCCCGTTGCCTCCCATCCTCGCCAGCCCGACAGACGCCAAACTTCGATCAATTCCCGGCCGCTCGACGAAGGCATCTGGCCATCCCTCTTCCCGTCGACCAAGCTCGACCGCCAATCTCCCTCCCATCTCGTTCCTCCGCCCGACAGGAGTAGCGGCCGCTCAACGGGAACAGCAGCGGAGACGGAAGCAAAGCGCGATGGGAAGAAAGTAGCGGCACGACGTCATCCGCCATTAGAAAGAGAGGGAAATGAATGATTATGGTCATTGGGTTTTGCTCGGGAGAAGGTAAGGAACCGTTCCTCGGAGTTAGAATCAAATTTCGAGGTAGTTAGAGGTCTCGTCGGACCATCGCCGGGACTTCCTCGTAACTCACCGGAAAAACCAGAAAACTCAAGTACAATTATTTTTAGATTGGAGGGTACCAATGCAAAGAGGACGAACCCAGGATCGTCACCGTGTTGATGAAATCCGATTCGGACGTCGGACGAGGGAGAAACGAGCATCTAAAGGTTGGATGAAAAACTGTCAAGTTTAGGTGCCATTATGGACAATTCGGAAAGTTGGTGGATTATTTCGAAAATTTTACAGAGGGGTCTTGGTCAACTATGTTGACTGGAAAATTTTCAATTTCGGTACTTGGTACTTTTAAACTAACAGAATGTTTATTTTGGTCATAACTCGATCAATTGAAGTCCAAACGAGGAACCGTCGGCGCCTATGGAATCGTGAGAACAAGGAGAATTTAATGGAAGTGAGTCATGGAATTTAAGAGCAGAATCAGAGTTGGCTTCGATGGATTCGAGGTGAGTGTAAATGGGGTAAAATCTTCGTCGATGTCTTTTAGTTTATGTCTTTTAATTCAGTTATGTTGGTTATTTTCAATTAAGCGCGATTATGTGTGTGAGGCATCCCACCGCCTACCTAAGGTGGAGGCACGCGTTGTGTATGTGTGTGTTGATGTATGGTTATTGGTATGATGAACCCCCGGGCGGTTGGGCCACTACTGGACGCGATAGATGTAACACCCTAACCCGGCCGGGTACTACTTTTACTAAAATGCCCTTGATAAATAAAAATACTCAAATCTTAAATTGCAGCGGGAAATTTTTTCATAAATAAAATACTGAAAACACACACTTGTAGTTCAGAGCAAAACCCTAACAAGTGGGCAAATTAAACTCAAACTTTAAATCTCAATCTAATCTCCAGTCTATACTCATAATCATAAAATGTAAATAACTAGGTAGTCTCTGTCGTTGCTGCTACTGAAAATCTTAAATAGGCATCCTCTGTGACGCTTGCACTGCCCGCCTCTAGCTGGTTGCTCTCGAACCTTTCCTCTCGAACCCGCTGCTCTCTAACTGCTCCTCTAGCTAGCTGCTACCGATCTGGTTCTCGCTCATTCTCTTACTAAGGCCTGGTGAGTGAGTTGGGGTCAGTCTACGCCCTTACGTTTTAATAATTCTAATACTTGAGTACTTTACTTAACACTTAACTTTAACTAGTGGAAGTTGTTTGTACTTCCAATCTTAAAATCTTAACTCTTAAACTTTGAGGGAGTTGAAGTTACTCTCCTCTCTTAAAACTCAAATCTTGACTTAAATACTTGACTGACACGGGGATCCTCACTAGCTAGTCCGGTTGCCAACTCATACGTATGAGAAGCCATCCAGGCTTTCCTTAAACTTAGTTAGGGAAGTCGTAACGATTCATCCCCCTAACATCTTAAACTTATCGTGGTGGCTCTTCACCATGATTCTCAAGGGCATAACTGCTGCCCATCTTAAAAATCTCAAGAGCATAACTGCGCTCTATCTCAAAGATCTCAAGAGCATAACTGCTGCTCTATCTGAAAATCTCAAATGGCAACGGACTTGCGCTAGTGACTAAAAACACTTAAAACAACTTCACCTTCTTGAAGGTGAGTTACTCCTTAAAAAGAACTTGTTTCTTAAACTTTAACAATAACTCAAACATAACGCTTTAAGGTAAAATAGCACAAAATCACCTCAAATCCCATCAAATAGCACAAAATCACTTCAAACCATAACTCAAGCAAAGCACAAAAAATCAATCATACACATAACCAAGCAACGGTAACCAATTCTCTAAAATACTAAAAATCGTAATACTTAAAAAAAGAATAGGTAAGGCGTAGAATTTACCTCCTTTACACTCACCTTAACCTTAAAGCTCCAACATTCCATGAAATTTCAACTTGTCCAATTCCACCGAACAACTCTTTCAATTCTCCACCACTATCTTAAGTTGGAGATGCTGCAGGTGGCGGCACCTGATTATCCATCATCATCATCTCTCTGGTTTTTCGCTCCTGCTAGCATTCTATATTGGCTTCGTTGTGCAAATCAATGCAAAAAGCGACGGGCAGTTAAAGTTGAAACGAGCTTCTTCACCGCTGGACGTTTTCTACGTCCTCATGCGCCACCGTGCTTGCCTGACCAACTTCTCCCTCTAGATCCCCGACCTAAGAAGCGCGTTTCCCCACCATCGGATCGGCCAGATCATCGGCTCTCTAACCGACCGACGCATCGAGTTCCTGTCCATTGACATCAAAGACCATGTGCTGCCGAGGTGCGTTTTCTCCCTCGCCCGGCTCATGAACTTGAAACTGTGTGGCTGGTAGTTCAGATCCTCCAACGTGGCGTTCGACAATGCTGCTTTTGTTGAGCTCGTTGTTCTCGAGCTTCGAGGTTTGGCAATAAGTCGAAAATGGTGAGAGGGTTTTGGTCGAGTAAAGCGTGTAAGGGAGAGCAGTTTCTTTGTGGTGGGGAAAACGACGGAGATGATGGTGCCATTATGGATTTTGTTAGTTTTTAGGCTTTATATAAATACATCGGGTCCAGGTTAGGCTGAGTGAGAGGTAGATTTAGGTTAGGGTTTAACTGCCCAGGTTATTTTGGACATTTCGCAATTACGGGTGCGTTTAATCCGAAACTCGGTTAACGTCCGTAACTTCCTCATTTTATGTCCCAATACGGCACCACTTGAACTGATAGTTCACATTTTTAGTCATCATCGATATTACGGTGGAACTTGACCCAGGGGTATAATAGTCATTTTGACTTTTGGGAAGAGCGGGGTGTAACAGTCGGGTCACTACTGGACGGCGATACGTAACGTAGTAGTTGATCGGGCATGGACTGGACGACGATAGGTAACGCAGTACCATTGCCTTGAGGATAGGGACACCAAACGGCGATACGTAATGCGGTGATTCCTTAGTAATAAGTATATAAGATAAGATAGAAGTAGAGAACTTCTATGAGATATCAAGGATTAAAAGTATTAAGGATGAAAGTGAGAACGACTTTCTTGTAAGAGGAAGAAATTTCTAATAATGTGTTATTAAGGGTTTACTTAGAGCAAGACCTTAGGAAGTAACGACGAGACTGACCCCTTCTCACTCACCAGGTTGAGGAAGAGTTAACGGATGTGGATTTCGAGAAGAGGCAAGGTGAGGCGAGAAGCCGCACTAGCATTGGCGAGGTCACAGGGAGCTTAGCGAGGAGCTAGAGTTAGATTTAGTAGTTGTCTTATGTATCATGATTATGAGTATAAAATGGAGGTTCATAGTTCGAGATTTGTGGGTCAAGTGTTTTGGGATTTGTTATTGCCCAATTGTTGGGGCTTTTTGTTTGAAATTCTTAAACATTGTCAGTTTGTTTATTTTAAAAAGTGGTTTGGTTGCTCCGGAGCAATTGGTTTTGTGGTTTGAGTTATGGTTTAGTTTTCAAAAAGGATCGGGTCGTTACATATGGTTTAGGAGGTTCCTAACCTAAGTTAATTACTAATGCTTACTTGATGTTTTGGTTTTAATTACTTTTAGACTTTTGGATTTACTTGATGTTTTGGGTTTTGATTATTGTTATTCTATTTTTACCTCACCTACCTTCAATAGTTAAACTTTAGATTGACCTAAAACCATACCAACAGTGGAAAAAGGTCAAAGTCCAGAAAAAGGCAGAATCCAGAAAAGCGACGGCGCCCCATCGTCGTCCTCCGTCGATCTTCGTTTCTCATTATGATTCAGGTCTAATTGTACACGCTCATTTTGCTTAGGCGTTTGTGGCAATTGTGCTCCTAAAAGGGTGGTTTTACGCGAGGTTTCTTGTGTTTTAGCATGTTTCCGGATTTAACAGGTGAAACCAGCCCCGGAGTTGAAAGTTGGACGAAAAGGAGCGAAAACCGGGAGAAGAGGTGAAAACCAGCAGTTCACGGTCTGCTAAGATCGTGAAGAGGAGTTGTTGCCCATGAACAACCAAGCCTCCAGGGCCAAATCTTAAGTTACTGACGGGAGGTGAGTTCACGGTCACTAAGACCGTGAATTGGAGTTGTAGTCCGTGAACCCGACAAGCGAAGCGGTGCGTTTCGATGCCAACCTTGAGTTTACAGACGCGTTCAAGAGTTCACGGTCGTGAACTGAGGCCGTGAACTAAGCCCGATTCTTGTTTAAAAAGATAGCTGAAAGGAAGAGAGAGAGGAGAGGCCAAGAGAGAGAAAGTGCCTTCTTCAGATTTTAGACAGAGAAAGAACGAACCAAGGAAGGAAGAAGGCTAGGGTTTACTCCAAGTGGTGAAGTGGGAAGATTCTCCCCAAGAAAAGTTCAGCACAAGCTCAAAGAAGATTGGAAGCATCTCTGTGATGGTTTGTACCTCTTCCTCTTGTGTTTTTCCCCTTTCTAGCATGGAGTAGTTTCCTTTTTCACTTGGGTGTTGTGAAACCCTAACTATTTACCATGTAGTTTTTGTTATGTGAATTGAATGATTGTTTATGGGTGTTGTTTAATTCAATGATTGAGGTATTTTTCATGTTAATTGTGCATGTTTGTGCTTAGCAATGTAATTGGCCATTTTAACCTAGACTAGAGAGGGAAGACCTCCTTTCAAGGGAGCCTCAATTGAGTTGGGATTCCTAGGGCTTTGTAAGCCACCTATCTAGGTTAATGTAGGGAAAACCTCCATGTTAATTGTGATATTCAGGACGAGTCAAGTTTTTGGCGCCGTTGCCGGGGACAACGGTCTGTTATCTTGAAAAAGTTGTTTGGTGTTAATCTAGCTTTTACTTTCCAGTTTTGAAAGTGTTTGTTCTTTTCTTGTGCTAGACTTGGTGTTGTTTTCTGATTGTGTGTAGGGAGGTGCATGACCCGTTGCAATCCGTCACCTTTGCTACCTCGTGACGAGGACATAAACCGAACACTCCGACTCCTAGCACAAGAGAGGGAGCTAGAGGAGGCAAGGAGAAGAAGTGAAGAAAGGGGACAACAATCTGGTCCTGGTGTTAGTGTAGTAGAAGTTGAAGAAGTGGAAGGTGAACCCAACATTGGAGTAGAAATGGCGTGGAACCAAAGAGAAGAGAGAGCTGCCCAAGCTCGTAATTTAAACGATGCGGCGACGGAATAGGAAGCCCCGAGGACAATGGGATACTATATGGCCCCACGGCCGGCGGACATTCAATCGCCAATCCTACACCCTCAAGTGGAGGCCAACAATTTTGAGATCAAGCCGGCTGTAGTGACCATGATACAGGACAATGCTTTATTCCACGGTCATGCGACCGAGTCACCAAGAGAGCATGTGCAAAGATTCCTTGAGCTCGCGGGGAGCTTGAAGATCAATGGCATGCCGGCTGAGGCTTTTCCCCTATTCACTTCCGGGGAAAGCACTCTGGTGGCTAAACAACCGCATGCCTCGTTCTATAACCTCATGGGACGATCTTCTCAACAAATTCATGTCCCACTACTGCCCAGCTTCGAAGACGGTCGAGTGGAGAAAGAAGATTACCCATTTCGAGCAAGAAGAAGACGAGACCTTGAGTGATGCTTGGGGAGATACTCCGATTATTTTCTTCAATGGCCTCACCATGGGTTCGAAGAACAGTATTGGATTGAAACTTTCTACGGTGGTCTAATCCAAGAAGACAAGGTTCCATTGACTCACTGTGTCAAGGGAAATTGATGAATATGACTCCACCCCAAGTGACCGAGCTACTTGAAGAAATGGCCCTCAAGGGATACGATTGGGGATTGACGAGAAGTGGGAGCAGAAGCAATGATAGGGTAGTGAGAAGTGTGGGAGCGAGCGCTCCACTTGAGGCAAAGTTGAACAAGTAGATAGAGGTAATTCTTGAAGATAAGAAGCAAAGAAAGAGGCCGGTGATGTCTTGTGATTGGTGTTTGAGCACTAACCATGAGATGGCGGAGTGCCGAGCAATGAAGGATGCAACCACTCCGGAGGAGCAAGTCAATTTCGTGGCAAATGCTAGGGCGAATAACCCGTATAGCAATACTTATAATCCTGGATGGAGGAACCACCCCAATTTCACTTGGTCATCACCGACTAATCCGAGGCCCCCGGGTTTTCAAGGCCCCACGGGCAATTATCAACCTCGCCCAACCTTCATCCAACAAAGACCTCAAGTCCAAAGCTCAAACTTTCAACAACCATATCTAGCACAAGGTGGTCAAGGGTTTCAACAATAACAACAACCCGACAAGCTATCCAAGCTTGAAGACCTAGTGAACACCTTTGTGAGCATGAGTGCTCAAAAGTTCGAGAAGATTAAGCAATTCATGGATGTGGCGACTACCAAATTTACCTCGGTTGAGGCGGGACTCCGAAGCCATCAAGCGAGCCTCCAAAGCTTGGAAGTGCAAATCGACAATCTTGCCAGGATCCTCACAGAGAAACCAAAGGGAGCCCTACCTTCCCAAACCGTGGCGAACCCCAAGAATCCTGCCGGGGTGAATGCAATTTAAGTGGGAAGTGGAAAGGTGACTCTGGGCGTCGCCGCTAAAGAAGTGATTGAGAAGGAAGATCCCAACCCGAAGGATGGAGAGAAAGGGCCCTTGAGGAGAGAGAGGAAAGCAGCAAGGAAAGCATCGCCGATACCACCTCCGGTCGTTGAGTACAAGCCACCTCTTCCTTTCCCCACGAGGATGTACAATGAGAGGTTGGAGAACGAGTGTGGAGGTTTTATGGAATGCTCCACATCCTCCATCTCAATATCCCTTTCCTTGAAGCCATGGCTCAAATGCCAAGATATGAAAAGTACATCAAAGGATTCCTCACCAAGAAACCAAAGCTTGAAGGCCTCCCCAACGTGACTCTTGGCGAGAAGTGTTCGGCTTTCCTCCTCAACCGCTTGCCCAAAAAGCGGTCCGACCCAGGTAGCTTTACTATCCCTCTTGGTATTGGTAACCATCATATAAACAATGCCTTGGCGGACCTAGGAGCTAGTGTTAATGTGATGCCCTACAAGATTTTCAAAAAGTTAGAAGTAGGTGAACTTAAGACCACTAAACTTAGCATCACTTTAGCCGACCGTTCGGTCATTAGCCCGAGAGGCATTGTGGAGGACATGTTGGTGCGAGTAGGAAAGTTTTGTTATCCAACAGATTCATGATTCTTGATATAAGCGAGGACTCGGATATGCCGCTCATACTCGGTCATCCATTCCTCGCCACCGCCAAGGCATTGATAGACGTTAATGAGGGTACCTTAATTCTGAGGGATGGTGAGGAGAGAATCAAGCTTGAAATTGACCATAGGGCTAGAAGTGAGGAAGTGAAGGAGTTGGTTTCGAAGGATGTGAATGTTAGTGGAGGAGAGCCTCTCAAGGCAAACCCTACTATTACCTATGTTGCTTGTGGTAATGTCGAGCAGGTAAGTCAAAGAGGGTACTATGCCCAAGGACAAGAGGAAGAATGTGTAACACCCTAACCCGGCCGGGTACTAATTTTACTAAAATGCCCTTGATAAATAAAATACTCAAATAATAAATTGCAGTGGGAAAAATTTTCATAAATAAAATGTTGAAAACACACACTTGTAATTCAATGCAGTGTCCTAACAAATGGGCAAATTCAATTACGCATTATTTTAATTAATAACCCTGTTTAGCTTCTAACATCTCCAGTATTTTAACCGTAGTTGCCTAAACCCTCCAAACCCCATAATATTTTCACCTCCTCCAACTCCTTGGCTAAAGGCCCTCTATTTCAAACTCATAATTGGCCAAAAGATCCATTGCTACAACCAGACACCATGACTATCATGTCCTGTCCTTTATACTAATCACCCCTTTCCCTTTTATATTACTTTAATTTCTCCACTTCATAACCCCCAAATTTTTCCAAAAATCCCATGAGAATGGCATCTCCAAATCAATTACATAACATTGACAAAGTATGGGATTTCTTACCCCAAGTGCAAGCAGCAACTCTTTCAATCAAAATTTTCCCACTGCAATTTATTATTTGAGTATTTTATTTATCAAGGGAATTTTAGCAAAAGTAGTACCTGACCGGGTTAGGGTGTTACAGAATGCTTGGAGGCAAAAGATGAAGGAAGCTTTGGCCCGTAGGAAGGAGAAGGCCAAAGATAAGTTGGTCAACCAAGAGGACCAACTCATGGAGTTTAAGATGGGAGGATACAAGCCTCGCCCCGAGAGTGTGGTGGATCCACTCCCAGTGGCATCACGTTCCAAGATGTGATTGATCCCCAACTGTCAAGCTAATGATGATAACTTAGCGCTTGTTGGGAGGCAACCCAACGGAGGTTTGTTTTCTTTTCCTTATTTTCGTTTTTGTGTCAATTGAAGAGTTTAAGTGGTCAAGCGGTTTCCCCGTGCCAAGTTTTGTGGTTTTGCATTTTAAGGTTGTGTTGTGATCGATTAGGAGGCACGATGTAATAGGTTGAGTTAAATTTTTCTCAGAAGTTCCTTGTTTCCATTAAGTTCACAGACGGATTGCTGAGTTCACGGTCTTACAAGACCATGAACAGGCAAACGCGTCCGTGAACTGGGCGCTTCTGCATGTTCACCACCTGTCGAACAACCTCAGTTCACGGACGGATCTGAGTGTTCACGGTCTCTAAGACCGTGAACAGGCCAACGCGTCCGTGAACTCCGTGCTTCACCTATAAAAGGGGCTTGAACAACGACTCTTCACTTTACGACCCAAAACTTGCCGGAAAATGGCGAACTTCCGACGTTTTTTCAAATTTTCACCCATTTCCGGCGAGCAAAACCCAAAACCAACTTCATACCCATTCTCTTCTTGTCAAAGCCGGCCTGTGCTGCGATTTTGGCGAGATTTGGGGCAAGTTTTTTCCGGTCAAGCTGCCGGCGGTGAGTCTCTGACGAGCTTCTGACGAAGCTCCGACGACCCCTCTCCAGCATGTTTTCGGCCATTTTTCGCCTTCCTCGTCCGCACCTCACTTCCTCCTACATCCTACTTGCGTCTCTAGATTGGTTTTTCACCTCCACCTTGTTAATTTGGGAGAATCGGATTAGGTAGTGAAGTGAGGATGATTTTCATGCTTTGAATGTTGAACCTAGAATTAGGGCGATGAATTATGTGAATTAGGTCGAATGAATGGTGGAATGTTAATGCATGTGCCTAGTTGAGCCTTGGTGAGCGTGTTTGAACCGAATTGGCTATATTTTTAGAATTTGCCCATCAAGTGCTATTTTGTGAATGCATGTGGAGCTTTATGCTTGTTGGTGGATGGTAGCCACCGTGGTTTGGGGCTGTGGTTCGAATGTTTGTGCACATGAACCATGAAATAACCACAACCATGCCACGGTGTGCTTAAGCTTAAATGTTTGATATCCATGGTGGAAATATAAGTGTGAGGGGGAATCTCTTTTCCTCCCAATGAGCAATATTTGATGATTATTTCCATGTATGGTGTCTGTTTGCCATTTTGTGCAGGATGGTTAACTTGGAGCACGAGTACATCAACTACCTGGTGCACCACCCGGAGTTTGGCGACAAGTTCGCCTACTAGAGGGACACCCCGATTGGGCCTCATTGGCGGCTGGACTGGGATGTCCGAGGTGCTTTGTCACCGCCAGTGGCGCCAGCTCCTGACGGTGGATGAGCAGATCTACCACGAGATCTGCGTGGAGTGCTACTGCACCTTCTCCCACGTCGTCCCGGCCAGAAAGAAGAGTCGACCGCACGTAGAGTTCATGCTGGGAGGTCAGCCACAAATGCTGACCTACGACGCCTTTGCTCAAGCCATGGGGCTCGACACCGCCCACATGACGATGACGGAGCGGTAGTACATAGTGGATTTCAACTATCAGGGAGCATTTTGAGCCCTCTGCCGGCCCGAGCACGAGCAAGATGAGTTTGAGGGGAGCCGCACCAACGTAGTGAAGCTGAGGACTCCTTGGAGGATCCTCCACACTTTGCTCACCCGCTCGGTCGTCCCCAACATGCAGTCAGTCCATCTGATAACGAACAGAGGGCTAATTGGCCTCTACTCCATGAGGAGTCCAGCGGAGCCAATCCATCTGGGATCTCTGATCGCCACTTCTTTTGCCCGGTGTATGGCGCGAAACAGAGTGGAAAACATGCACCGGGGGGGGGGGGGGTCATTACGAGGATGGCCCGACACTTCCACGTGGATCTGGCTTGGTGTACCAACGTCGAGAGGACGGAGCCCTTCCCAGTGGCGACCCTTTACAACCAAAAGCCGGTACTCGAGGGAGAGCGAGGAGTGGAGTACCTCGAGGGACTCCGACCATCAGGAGTCATCAGAGTAGCAGTCGACCTGGCTCCAGTGGAGCCTGATCCAGAGGGCCCACCAGCAGAGCAGCCACCTGCTCGAGCACCCGACCTCCATCGGTGTCCCGCGCTCCAGCGCCCAGCCACCACCACCAGCAGCAGAAGGTGATCCCCTTGTTCAGAGGGTGGATCGCCTAGAGACGAGCTTCGTGGGAGTGACTTCCCGCCTAGACCGACAGACCGACCTCCTCGAGCTGATGGCTCGACACCATGGCCTCCTTCCAGATGAGAGGGAGGGTCCATCCACCCGTGAGAGGTAGCCGATGAGTGAGATATGTGGCAGAGCCAATTTCTTTCGCCCCACTTCTCCACTTGTAACTCAGAACTTGTTTCTGTTATTTTTCTTTCTTATGTGTGTGTGTGACCATAAACTACTACCACTATCGTATTGTGTTTGCAATAACCTTGCCTCAAGTGAGTCGTATTGTGTTTGTGTGTGTTTTGTCTCTCCTTGAAGCTCCAAATATCCTACTCCGGAATCGATTCCAAATTTCACTCACCAAGCCCAAGCGGTAACATCATTCTACCCCTATCTTCCGCCATTGAGGGCAATGTCGAGCTTAAGTGTGTGTGTGGGGGGGGGGGGGAGTTTACTATTATGCTTGTGTGAGTGTGATTCATGCTTGGAGCCTTGATGTATTGCCCAAATTTGAAAATTTTGAGGGCTCCAAGCAAGGTTTGCATGATCAAAGTGGCCGGTGTGTAGGAAAATCTCGTGTTTATTGGCATTAATCTTGATTTGTTGCATGTGATCGAGTATAATCTATGATGATGACTGAGAGGCCCATTAGGATAATGCAAAAGTCTAGTTCTCATGTGTGCATAAATGAATGGATGTGTTGACTTGATCACTTGTTGACTATAATTTGCCATGCATTGTGTTTTGTGAATTGGATGGTTGGGTGACTAGGTAGCCATGTGAGCTTTAAGCCGATTGTTTCCTTCTTGTGTGCGTAGATCCCTCTTACCATGGCGAGTAACATCACAGTTGTCACTAGTGAGTATGATGGAGGCATAGGATTAGTCAATGCCCAAATGTTGATTGTCCCGAAATGTGTTATCCACTAGTCAACCCCTTTGAGCCTTGTGACTTCGAGGGTCGTTCTTAAATTAAGAGCTTATTGCTTGTGATCTTAATGGTGATTAATAGAACGAACCCCAATCCTTTCTTCGTGTCTAAACATGAGTCTTCCTTTGTCCCAGAGCTCTCACTTTTGAGTTTCCATAGAGGTTCTACATAGGAGGATTGTGTGTGGTTCTTGCTAGAAATGAAAAGAAGTTTAGTGTTGGAGTGAGTTCTTGAAAAGAGAGCATTGTTCGTTTAATGTATAGGTGGCAAGGTTTTACTCTCTAGTATCCCCCTCAAAAAGAAAAGAAAAGAAAAGAAAAGAAAAGAAAAGAAAAGTGAAACGAAAAAAAGGTAATAAAACGGGGTAAATAAAGTAGAGAGTGCCACGAAAAACCAAAGTGTATGCTCTAGGAGGGGTTTCTTGGCACTCAAGACATCAAAACCCCCACATTGTTTTGGAACTCTTTCACTACCAAACCATAATGTGATAGCAAGAGTAGACTGAGGAAGAGCGCTTAAATGTAGTTCACTATGGGTGATAGTTTGGAAGAGAGAGATAAGGTTTTTGGCCGATGCTAGTCGCCTTTGGTTGAAGAGAAGGGACTTAGTCAAAACTATAGAACCTTCGGGTTTAGGTTGAAGATGCAGAACCTCTTGTCGTGTTTGCCACCACCCAAAAAGCTTTTCCCCCATGTCCAAGACAATTGTTAATCATTTGAACCCGTGTCTAAGACCTCTGGACAAGCTAGTGGTGACAACCATCCGATGAACTCTAGCATTTAGAGGTTACCGCCGTAGTACTGAGACGATAGGGCCGAGTGTTGATGATTGTGGACATCTTTTGCACAAAAAAGGTCCCGACCGCACTAGTCTTGAGACTTGAGAGTGAGTGATTCATTCTTGTTTTGCATGCCATATCATACCCCGGTGAGGACCTATGTTGCCTTTCCATTTGTTCCTCGGACTTGAATTCTATGCATGGTTAGTTGTGGTTGATAAGTGGTCTTTTTGAGACTTGCATTGATCCATGAACAAGGTGAGAACTTTTCGTTTGCCCACATTTGGTGGCCTCGAATGTCGTTTGTGGTGGATGTCGGTATTGCTTGCAATGGTTCATGTATTAATTGCCAATAGCCATTGAGAATTCCCACTTTGTGCCCTTTGAGTTGTCCCCAAAGTACTTGTGTAGGTTGAAATAGTACCTTGTGTGAAATGGTTTGCTTGGGGACAAGCAAACGTCTAAGTGTGGGGTAGTGATTTAGGCCCCCTTTCAAGGGAGGCTCAATTGAGTTGGGATTCCTAGGGATTTTTAAGCCACCTATGTAGGTTAATGTTAGGCAAATCTCCATGTTGAATTAAGCAATTTGGTTAAGCGTGATTAAGCCGACCAACCATTGGGTTGAGTGAGGGAGTAAGTCAACCGTCGATTGCCTTAACCGAGAGGGCCTCTTGAATGGCCTATACTGTAACCCTCGGTTTGGAAATCGAGAGTGTGGTCTACGATCATATTTGCGTCCCCTAGCGGTTCGTAGTCACCTTGCCCATAACAATCACTTCGATTCACATACCATGGTAGTAGTTAGTGCGAAGTGACACCCGAGTGATCCTTCTTACAAAGAGCTTTCAAAACCATTTACTTTTGCCTTGCTTTACTTTAATTAGAAAACCTTTCAACCAAAACCGATTCACTAGATAATGATTCAAATTATTGAAGTAGGGGTACACGGACCGGCCCGAGTCGATATTTCAACATACTTGTCATGTATTGCACCCGACTAAGGTTTATACTTGCACCTTAAGCGGGAATTAATGGTGATATTCGGGACTAGTCAGCTTCCTTCCATTTATATACCTTCCCATCCCCTCCAACCGACGAGACCAATACCCTGAACATCTCTCCTCCTTTCTTGTGCGGAATCTTTTTCCCTCAACGGAAAAAAAAAGAAACACCGGGAAGGAAAACCGAAAAAAACAAAAAACATGAAAAAATGCTTCTCCGGAGCTCCTCAAAGCCGGCCCTCAAGAACCTTGTGGGGCATTGCTGCGTGGTACCTGAAATCGATGCCAGTCTGACATCCCATGTCAGCCCTAAATACTCCCCGCTCCGCTATGCGCCGACCTCGCCGTCTCTGAAGTGGACCTCATCGAAGGGAGATCTGAAATTGTTTTCGTCCAACAAGGGGAAATCCAAGAAGCATACCAAAGAGGGAACGAACCATCACCACTACTCAAAGCGCCGACCTCCCTCGCCGTCGACGGCGATCGTGGCTGTGCCGGCTTTGTCGAGGACTGCGCCGCCGCTGTAGAGGACCTCCTTGGAAGGGGATCTGAAATTTGGGGGAATTTTATCGATCGCGGCGATGGAGTCGGCGGGAGGATCCGACGGCGGAGGCGAGGGAGGGTTTTTGGGCAGCGGCGAGGAAGGGGCTTGGAGTGAGATGCTGCGGCCGGGGATGGAATCCATGGAAAAATATTACAGGGATATGACCACAATGTACCTAGGCGACGGGCATTGGCTTTCCAATTATGCCAAGTTCTTGAAGGAGACCAGCGGCGACTCTGCCAGGGCGGAGGAGTGTTGTGAGCGAGCCATCCTGGTGACGTCGGCGACGTCGGCGTCCTGTCCATGTACGATGACCTCATCTGGAACAACAACAGGGACGGCGACCGTGCTAACACCTACTTCAATCAGGCCGTCAAGTCTTCCCGCAGCGACTGGTAAATCCCTTTGTGCTGATTAATCAATGTTCGGATTCTTCACCCAAACAATCACATAATATAAATTCGGTTTAATTACAGCCATGTGGTAGCGTCATATGCTCGATTCTTGTGGGATGTAGCAGAAGAGGGAGAAGAGGAAGAGGAAGAGGAAGGAGAAGAGGTGGAAGAGGAAGCCCAACAATTCCAGCCAATACGCAGCAGTAGGCCGCAGGGTCAAGCCCAACAACCGGCCCATAGCATTGCTATTGGGTTTGAGACTCCATTGGGCTTCCTCCACTTACAACTTCTACTCCCGGACTAAGATTAGGTGAATAATGGGGTCCTTAGTCACATGACTAAGTGATCTCAGCTCTTGCAGCTCATTAAAATCCAATGACTCAGATTAATCCAATTTAATGAAGGACAATCTAGTAATTTCATGACTTTATTAATTTTCAATTATTAATTAATTTAAAAAAACTCTATAATTTTCCAAGCGTCTCTTCCGCGGGTGGAAATTTTCCCACGGCGTCTCCCCTCTTCCGCCATTTTCTCGGCAGCATGCGCTTTTGCAATTTCCCCAAGGCGGCCTGGGAAATATATTCCCCCTCCATGGAGATATATATATATATATATATATATATATATATATATATATTTTCCGGTGTCGTCGAGAATTTTCACCTGTGACGAGATTTTCCGACCACAGCGATAGTTTTGTAATGATTGTCGTTATATTTTGTAATATTTGTAAGTATGATTTGTAATGTTTATAGACAAATCGGTTTGTATTGTTTGTCAATTTGGTCTGTTTATGTTGATGCCAAGCTAAAATAACTGACCTCGAACGTTGTAGAGTCCAGAGAGCATTGACCTTTTGATTTGCCGTTGGATTCCAGCTCTCGAGATGAATACCTGCAAAAGAGGACCCGCGGTTGTGGTCGGCTGGGACCTTCTCCAAAGCTCAAGTCAGTACCTGGAAATAACCGGGAGCGGCGTATAGAGCTGGCTCTAGGGAGAAAGAAAGAGAAATTTTGGGGTTGGAAGTTGCCAATTCGCCGAGAAGAAGTTCGTCGGGAATTCCCCTTTTCCTATCTCGTTCAGAGAAAATGAGTTCCCTGGAATTGAGATGGATGCCGAGGAAACAGAAATGAACGACCTATTTATAGGCGCATCTTGCTCCTGGCGGGGTGGCGTATCATAAATAAAGAATAATATAATTACTTGAATTATCGCTACATCTAAGGTTTGAGAAACTTACCTTGATTGAATGTAAATACTCATATTGGCATTGTTATTGTATAAATGCATCCATGCTTACCTAGTTAGCTTCCACATACGTGTCATTACTTTGTTTAATTGGAATCTATGGTTGGTGGGTAAAGATGGTGCAATGTATATATTCATTTACCCTTTTCCTTTATCTCTTACGTGGGAAAGAATGGGGAGTTTTATGATGGGTAGGAAAATAAGCTTATGACTAGCTGAATCCATATACACGTGTAACAAAACAAGCATACTGATTTTTTGGTTTAGACTTTCCAACCACTTAAGTATGGGAAGAAACACACTTGGTGTCTTATGTGTCAATTGGGTGAAAACATGCAGTGAGAAGTGAGGGGTAATATATTATCCCATTGCCCTTTCTTCTGCCACGTAGCTGAATAGGGTTATAGGTTTTGTGAGGGTTTATCAGTTGCCCCCTTACTAATGGGGATAGTAGGGATCCTTATTAGTAACCCTTCTCATATAAATAGGGGAGAGCTTTCCCCTCACCATTTATTCCATTCCACCCTTCCTCCCTCATTATGTTCCCCTTCATCAGATTATGCGAGTGAGAGAGGTTAGCTCTACCTTCACAAAATCTCATGTTCATGAGACATACTGGGTGAAGAAATCATTTATCTACCCATCTCCATCCTTCAGCCACCAAGTTGCTAGTTTTTCATCATTGGTCAATTGAAGTTCATTTTCATCACACAATTCTGCACCCACCATTACTATTGTTAATCTTAAATAATTCTTCCTTCCCTTCATCTACGTAATGGTTTCCTTATTTTTATATGAAATTTGTTTATCGATTTACCATTTAATAATAATATTTATGTGTTATTATTTTTGTTCTTGGAGCTAGCATGTCAAAAGAAAAGTCCTATGCATCTGAATGCGAGGGATTATCTAATCCACCAATGCCTCTACGCCCAGTCCCATGTTCGGAGCCAGTTCGTGGGAGGGGCGAACAACTAGTCCCTGGGGAAGGATCATCTGCCTCTAATCGTCGAGACACACCAACATTCTCTACCCAACCATGGCATGGTATGTTTCATTCCACATCACATTTCTCAGAATGGGCTATGATAGGTCCGGGTGGACGTTTTAATCGTAATGAGAGTTGGGTACAAAGTACTTTGTTGCAATTTGATATGTCGTGCCACTGGGAGTATGCGGTCCCGAGTATACTACCCTAGGCAATCGTGGTGTGGGATGGCATGTTGTATATCGAGCATCCCTCGATTATGGGCTTTGTTAACCATTTCCGACGTGGCTATGTGATGTGATGTGATGTGATGCGGGGATCTCATTTGACCTTAAGCACGGTGACACCAGGATTTTGGACACTCGTTGCTGCTTTTCGTTTGGGTTGTCACAGGGCTGGTGTGTCACCCCTCAGTAGAGCTTTTTTATGCATGCTTCTACCTTCGTGGTGAAGCTAATGGATGGTCTCTTCATAGTAAATCTAATGTGCTTGGCCTCGTGACTCCATATGGTCGTGCAGACCGGGGTTGGGAACGTGAGTTTTTCTATTTCTTTCCAGCTTCAGGTGAACTTTCTTCTGAGGTTGTTATGATCCCTACTAAATGGAGGGATATCGAGTTGGAAGGACTTCACAGACAAGCAGTACGTAGAGAATACGTAGTACAGAGAGAGCTAGCCGCCAAAGTGAAAAGGATATCAGAAGGAGGGTGGATTAACGTTGAGACTCCTGAGGCTCGGGCTATCGTCTTTTTCATGGTCTATAATGATGGTACGTTTGGGTATTGTTTGTTAATATTTGAGTGATTCCTTATTACCTATATGTTTTTTTTCGTTTTTGTTTTTGGAGCCTACTCGCGTTTTAGAGCATGCGTGGAAATTCAAGAGAATGCCCTATTTACCACGAGTTTACCGCCGCTTGTCCCCCGTCCTCAAAGTGGTGTGGTGATCTGTGAAATTTCCGAGGAGCCCGAACCAGCAGTGCCGCCGACTTCAATTGGTGGTCAAAACAAACGAGTGCGTGGCTCCTCTCCATATCGAGGCAAGAATTATGGTTCAAGAAGGAAATTCGAGAGTAGTAGCTCGAACCATTCTGCCCGCGGGGCGAGCAGAGTCATTTTCAGACGGCGAGAGCATATCATAACTCAGAGTCCCATCGCCGGGGTGGTCCAGGCACCCCAGGTAGAGGAAGGACAGATGTCCCACTTGTTATGAACTACCAAACCTTGCGTGATAACGGGAGTCAATTTCCTCCTCTTGAAGGCGAGGCTGCCAGTGTTTGCTTTGCGTTGTCGCAAAACTAGGTAACTTTATTGTTAATTAGTCAACGTAAATTGCGATGAGTTAACTAACCTTAGTGTTTCCTGTAGATGAATCAACAAAATGTTGTAAGCGTAGAGCATGAGCTTTAGTCGAGGAGCCAACTCACTATTCTGTACCGGATTTACTCCGGTAGTGGAGGTTTTGTTTGTTAAGGCCTCAATCTGTTTACTCCAGTGGAGGTTAGTCGCCCGCTAGAGACTCAGATTGAGAGGTTCTGAAGACCTTTAGTCGAGACTTCAGGCTGTTTAAGAACCTTCCGCAGTATAACTATCATAGAAACTGAACTTGGTAATTACAATCCGGCTTAACTGCAGTCTAGGGGGAACCATATCCGGGTGACCTCTTTAACCTGAATACAACCGTTTACTTGCTTTGTTAGTTTGATAGTTTAGACTTGCATTCCAGTTTCATTGCTAGATAACAAGAATTCACTGAGTAGTCATCAGATCTAGGACCCGGGTTGACATATAAACCTAATCCGCTATACTACGCTTTAGGAAGTGGTTTCACTTGGCCAATTCCTGGAGTGACAGTAGAGTCGAGTCAAGTTTTTGGCGCCGTTGCCGGGGACGGCTAGGTTGTTGAAGAAAAGTGATTTCTGTTAATTTAGCTTTTCTTTTTGCTTTGTTTGCTTTGTCCCACTTGTGCCTTCACGGGTTTGCTTGCTTGAGTGTGTGCAGGTAGTGCATGACCCGTAGCCAGTCGGGAGGTTTACTGCCGTTGAATCCAGAGATTGATCGCACCTGTCGCCGGCTCAGGAGACAACAGCGAGCTAGACTGGCTACGGAAGAGCGCATAGACGGCCACGTGAGCAGTGATTCTGAAGAAGAGCACGGGATGGACGGAGAGTACAATCAACACCAGGGGAATCCTCAGCAGGCTCCCCCGGTGAATCAGGTCCTGGGGAACAACCCCATACCCCAGGATCATGGAGTTCATCATCCACCGCAGCCGGGTCCCACCTTGGAGTACTACTACACTCCTCGGATTGCTGACATCCGCCCGTTCATCCTCTACCCGCCGATCCCAGCAAACAACTTCGAGATCAAGCCATGCTGGATTCAGCTCATCACATCCTCGATCCAGTTTCATGGCTTGAAGGATGAGGAGGCCAGGGTACATCTGTCCCGTTTTCTGCAGCTGACAAACGGGTTCAAGCTGAACGGTGTTCCCGATGATGCGATCCGCCTTCATCTCTTCCCACATTCTCTGGCGGGGAATGCTAAGAGGTGGTTGGAGACCCAGCCCCCATTGTCCATCACCTCTTGGGACGATCTGGCGGACAAGTTCGTGCACAGGTATTATCCGGCATCGAAGACTACAGAGATCCAGCGGGAGATCACTCACTTCCGCCAAGAGCCAGATGAGTCACTTCGTGATGCGTGGGAGCGGTACATGGGCTATTTCTGGCAGTGCCCCCATCATGGCTTCAGCGATGCATTCACAGTGGGGAACTTCTACAGTGCCCTCTCTCCAGATAGCCAGAGGGTGATTGAGTCTCTATGCCCAGGAGGGGATATTCTCACTAAGACTCCACCCGAGCTGAACCAGATGATTAATACATTGGCTGCCAGAGATCATTCATGGGGGCAGAGCAGCAGAGGCAGACATTCCAGGGACCGTGGTGTGCACGCCATGGAGACCAGATCCGGGCTCGAGCAGCAGGTAGCTGAGCTGGTGCAGACATTGAAGCAGCCCAACAGTCTTATTTCGGGCAGAGGTTTGGCTACACCTGCCAGGAGCGGATGTCTCGAGCCTCGTGCGGGGTAAAGCCATGCAAGGGGGCTGGAGGTAGTAGGTGGAAATTGGGAACGGATTCCCGTCTCCCCTTACACACTTTCGTCCTATTCGCACGGGAGACGTTATTTTGAAGCACATTTTCGAGCACCTGTTAAACTCAAAACATGATACAAGAGTCCATGACAGGTAGAGAATCCACAACACCACACAATTCAAGGGTCCTAAGATCACTAATTCACTCAATCAACCAACACAATATGAAGAAGAAATGAGACTTCTTAAATGCATCAACATCCTCCATAGTGCTACACTACCTCCCTAGGTTGCATATTACTATAAAGACTGTCAATTCAAAGCATACTGAGCAGGCAATTGCAAGGAAACACGTACTTGGAGCCCTCAAATTTAAAAATTTGGACAGTGGACTAGGCTCCAAGCACACAAACAGATCTAATGCATTCAAAAGAATAGCGGAGGAGGATGATGGTGTGGGGAAGACTAAAGCGACAAATGATATTTTCCCACAAGAATTTCTCGACTTGTTGGGCAGTTAGCCCAGTGATGGCTCTAGCTTCTACCCATTTGGTGAAGTAGTCGATTGCGACAATCAGCCATTTTTTTCTTCATGGGGCTTCAGGGAATGGTCCCAGGAAGTCCATTCACCATTGGGCAAATGGCCAGGGACTGATATTTCCTTGCATGGTCCCAGGTGGTGCATGTGGAACTTGAGCGGCAACTTGACACTTGATACATGATTTGACATACTCCCGCGTGTCTCGGCGCATAGTGGGCCAATAGTATATCTGCCTGAGGATGATCTTCTCGAGACTTCGTGGGCCAGCGTGCATTCCACATGATCCATCATGAGTTTCATGGATAGCAAAGTTGGCTTCCCCTTCACCAAGTCACTGGAGGTATGGGCCCACAAAACCTTTTTTGTAGAGTACACCTTTTATAAGGAGGTAGCGAGGAGCACACCTCCGAAGTTTGATGGCTTCCTTGGGGCCAGTGGGTAGAAGGTCATGTTGGAGATACTCCATGAGGGGTGTGCGCCAATCTTGTGGGATTGATGATGAGATAATAGGAGCGCACAACAAAGGAGGGCGATGCTCAACTACCACATTCGTGTCTTCAGGGAAGTCTCGAGCCGTGGCAAGCTTCGAGAGGGCATCCGCATAGAGATTTTCTTCTCGTGATACATGCTTCATCTCAACATGTATAAAATCAGTCATAATGGCTCGAGCAGCATTGACGTAGGCAGTTAGGGCAGGTTCACGAGCCTTGTATGCCCCCATAACTTGATTGACAACAAGGGCAGAGTCTGAGTGTATCAAGATTCTTTGAACTCCTAATTCTTGCACCATTGTTAAGCCAGCTAGGAGGGCTTCGTATTCTATGGCATTATTAGTTCTTGGAGTTGTAAAGCGAACAATCAGCTCATGGGTAACACCCAATGGACTGATGAGAAGCACTCCTACTCCAGAGCCGGACTTGCTTGAAGCTCCATCCACAAATAGCCTCCAAGTTTCTGACTCGGATGGTGTGGTAACTTGAATTCTCTCGGCCACAAAGTCAGCCAACACCTATGATTTGATGGATGTACGGGGGAGGTAGGTGATATCATACTCACTTAATTCAATGGCCCAGTTGATCATTCGACCCGCTACATCCATACGTTGGAGAAGCTTTCAGAGTGTCAATTGTGTGAAAACACAGATAGAGTGGCTCTGGAAGTATGGGCGAAGCTTATTTGAGGCCACGACCACAGCTAAAGCAGCTTTTTCCACGGGCGAATACCTGGTCTCAGCATCTAGTAGAGTTTTACAGGTATAATATATAAGATGTTCGGCGACGCGACCTGTGAGAACTTGTACTTCTTTGCCTCTGGTTGGGGAGGACATTTCGAGGATGGCGTCAATTTGTCGAGGGTTTGCCTCGATCCCTCTCTGGGTTACCATGAACCCCAAGAACTTTCCAGCAGTCACCCCAAAAACACATTTCTTAGGGTTGAGTCGAAGAGCATATATGCGAAGAGTGTTGAATGTTTCTCGGAGGTCTTCCAGATGTTCATTGACACTGTTACTTTTTACCAAGATATCATCAACATAGGCTTCTAGGTTCCGACCAAGTTGACGTGAGAAGACACGATCAACCATTCGTTGATATATGGCTCCAGCATTCTTTAAGCCAGAAGGCATGACCTTATAGCAATAATTACAAACTAGGGTCATGAATGTTGTTTTTTCTTGATCTTCTTTTTTCATGGGAATCTAGTGATAATCAGAAAACATGTCGAGGAAGCAAAGAAGGCGGTGCCCAGAGGTAGCATCAACCAATCGATAAATTTTGGGAAGAGGATATGGGTCCTTTAGGCATGCCTTATTGAGGTAAGTGAAGTCTACGCACATCCTCCACTGCCCATTGGCCTTTTTTACCATAACGACGTTGGCCAGCCCTGAGGGGTAGAGAATTTCTCGGATGAATCCTGCCTGGGCGAGTTTGACTACTTCTTCTGCAACAGCTTGACGTCGTTTCCATGCAAAGTTCCTTCTCTTTTCTTGTACAGGAAGACACCCTGGGAGAATCCCTAGGGCATGCTCAGCTACCCGACGATCAAGTCCAGGCATGTTTTCGGGACCTTGGGCGAGTAGTTCTTTAAACTTTCGGACCAAGTTGAGAGTTGAGGAAGTGCTTCTTTAGGCCAAGCGGTTAAGACACGGATGGTAAGGCCATCTTGAACAACTTGTTCCTCATCAAGGTCGACAGGCACAGGGCGAGCTACCTCTTCTCGAGTGTCAACAGTAGTGACATGTTTATCTTTAAGGGAAAATGCACAACATTGTTTGGCGATTGCTTGATCCCCTCGGACACAACGTACCCCGGACAGAGTAGGGAACTTCAATTTGAGATGAAGCGTAGAAGGGATGGCGTGAGCTTGATGTAGAAAGGGTCTTCCAAGAATTCCATTGTATGCAGAGGAACATTCCACCACATGAAAGTTAACCAATGTCTCGATTGCTTGGTTGCCATTGCCAATGCGAACATGAAGGGGTAGAATTCCAAGTACCGGGACTTGGTTGCCAGAGAATCCTAAACGAAAGACACTGGAAGGTTGACACCGATCCAAACAAAAACCCAATGAGCAAAAAGCGGGGTAAAAAAGTAGGTCGGCTGAGCTCCCTCCGTCAATGAGAACTCGTTTTACTGTGTAGTTGGCGATGATAGCCTCAATCATTAGAGGATAATCATGGGGATACTCGATATCCTCGAGCTCTCGGGAATAAAAAATGATAGGATTTTGATCTGAGATAGTGGAGGTGGAGCCAACCAAAGTTCGAGCATACGTCTTACAAGAGGTGGAAAATTCCTGTCATAGTCTAGTTCCTCCATGTATGACTAGGATGACACCTAACACAGGTCCGCTTCCTTGTGGAGCTTTTCCTTTGTCTGATGACGAAGGTTGTTGGATTGAGCCTTTGGAGCTTTGGATGAACTGCTTAAGTTGCCCATTTTGAATTAGTCCCTCGATGGATCTTCCCAATTTTTCGCATTCCTCGGTGTCATGCCCGTATCCCCGATGAAAGTCATAAAATTGTTTCTTTCTTTTTCTTGGTTTTATGCGACCTCGAGGTGGCCATGTCACCGGAAATGTTGAGTGGGGTAAAATTTTGGCCTGAATGGAATGGCCCATCCCTTCTGCGGTCATCTTTTTGAGCCTTGGGCATGTTATCCAAAGTTGGGCGGGGACGTTGTAAAGTTTCTCGATTCGGCGGGGGCGAATCCCTCCTACGCTTTGGCACAACGTAGGAGGAATCTTGTAAAGCTTCTTCTAGACCGATGTACTTCATGACCCGCTCTTGTAGCTCAAACATACTCCGAGGAGGTTTCTTGATGAGGGAATCCCGAAGAAGACTGTTTGTTGTTCCTCGTGTTAGCGTGTTGACAATTACATCAACGGAGAGGGAAGTGACGCCTATAGCCAAGGTGCTGTACCTAGCATAATAGGCTTTTAAAGCCTCACCCTCTCGTTTCTTGGTATTCATGAGCTGATTAATGCTCACTGCTTGTCGCTTTTGGGCATAAAACTTGCTCCGAAATAGTGTAGAAAATTCGGTGAAGTTGTTGATTATACCATTGCGAAGCTGAGAGTACCATCGACGAGCGTCTCCTCCAAGAGTGGCGGGAAATATTTTACACATGGTGGCATCAGAGGCACCAATAAGAGGCATCAAAATCTCAAAGGAACTGAGATGATCTTCTGGGTCGGTGGTGCCATTGTACTCCGGAAGGTTGGGTATATGGATGTTTCCCGGGTATGGCTCATTTAGAATGGCCAAAGAAAGGGGGCGACCGGTACTTGGTTGAGAAAACGTCCCCGGGGGAGGAAGTTCTTCGAGGTGAGGAACAATTGGGGGGACATCCCGGGCCGCTGCTTCAGTAGCTGCCGGTATGCCATTATGATGATCGTTGGAGGATCCAAGGACTCCCGTACTCCTGTAGAAAGTTGGTGGAGTAACCAGTGGTGGTTGTGGAGCCTCCGTTGCAGACCAAATCTGAGCACGAAGTCGCTCGATTTCAACCTGCAAATCTTCAGCCCTTTGGGATGGTCGAGTTTGCTCAGGGTTTGGAGTTGAACCTTGAGCGATCTCAACATGCACTTGCAAATCCGTTGTATCCATCTCGACTGGTTGAATTGGCAATTTATAGGTAGTAATCTCACCGGGCCCCACGATGGGCGCCAATTGTTGATGCCAAGCTAAAATAGCTGACCTCGAAAGTTGTAGAGTCCGGAGAGCATTGACCTTTTGATTTTCCGTTGGATTCCAGCTCTCGAGATGAATACCTGCAAAAGAGGACTCGCCGGTTGTGGTCGGCTGGGACCTTCTCCAAAGCTCAAGTCAGTACTTGGAAATAACCGAGAGCGGCGTATAGAGCCGGCTCTAGGGAGAAAGAAAGAGAAATTTTGGGGTTGGAAGTTGCCAATTCGCCGAGAAGAAGTTCGTCGGGAATTCCCCTTTTCCTATCTCGTTCAGAGAAAACGAGTTCCCTGGAATTGAGATGGATTGCTGAGGAAACAGAAATGAACGACCTATTTATAGGCGCATCTTGCTCCTGGAGGGATGGTGTATCATAAATAAAGAATAATATAATTAATTGAATTATCGATGTATCTAAGGGTTGAGAAACTTACATTGATTGAATGTAAATACACATATTGGCATTGTTATTGTATAAATGCATCCATGCTTACCTAGTTAGCTTCCACGTATGTCAACGTGGGTTGTGCATGGGATGATTAATATAAAACTTAACTTGGAATGGGGAAATGTTACCTGGTGGAGAAATACAAAATGACATACGTGTCATTACTTTACTTAATTGGAATCTCTGTTTAGTGGGGAAAGATGGTGCAATGTATATATTCATTTACCCTTTCCCTTTATCTCTTACATGGGAAAGAATGGGGAGTTTTATGATGGGTAGGAAACTAAGCTTATGACTAGCTGAATCCATATACACGTGTAACAAAACAAGCATACTGATTTTTTGGTTTAGACTTTCCAACACTTAAGTATGGGAAGAAACACACTTGGTGTCTTATGTGTCAATTGGGTGAAAACATGCAGTGAGAAGTGAGGTGTAATATATTATCCCATTGCCCTTTCTTCTACCACGTAGCTTAATAGGGTTATAGGTTTTGCGAGGGTTTATCAGTTTATATAATTGTTTTGTATATATTTTAATTTGTATTGTTTGTGTAGTTCGTATGTTTCGTATTGTTTGTATGTTTTGTTGCTCTATTTTGTATTGTTCGTATGGTTTGTACTGATTGTAAGTCTGGTTTGTATACTTCGTAATTTTTCATAATACCCAAACTACCCTGTCATTAATTAAATAGTCATTCTCACTTTTTAACCGTTAGATTGTTGTGTCCAGATCTAAGGGTTGAGATGGGCTTAGTCAAGTGACTAAGCACCCTCCCTTAGTCACAGGATCCAGACCCTCTACTCCATGAGAAGAGAACAATCAGAAAAAGTATGGGAAAAGATAATGGGTGAATTGCATTGTTGGTCACTGAGATTACAAAAACGTTCATGTTTGGTTACTTGAAATATTTTAATCCATTCATGGTCACTACATGTCTAAATTTAGTAAAATGATCCAAATTTGGTCACTCTCCGTCCAACTCCGTTAAATTTGGCTGATGTGGCAGTCAACTCTCATAGTTGACCGTTAAATCTGTGACGTGGCAATTATAAATTACTAAAAAATTAATTTTGAATATTCCACCTCATTATTACTACTATTAAAAATTAATAAATTAATAAATATTCATTTTAAATACCTAATGAACTAATCTCACCCCACTTTCTCACCGTCGATTGAAAGAGGGTGTCGGCCGAATCCCTAAGCCATGACGCATCCGTTGGAGATTGGCTTCAATAGTGCGTACAGACCAAGCAGAGCAATCTAAAAAGTTACCCGCATCCACTGCCACCACCTTAAATTTGGCTCTAAGACCTTGCATTTCTCCCGGATAAAGCTCCCGGAACTTTATTCCTAACTAGTGTAGGCAGAAGATCTGAGCCTGGCCATCCGAAAGTCAGCGATCGAGAATCGAAGCAATTCTCATGGCGAAGCAAAAAGAGTGAGGAGGGATGCCGCTTGATGAAGTGAGAGTGACGGAGACGGATTGCGACAGTGGATGGTTGAAACTGACTAGAACGACGCCGAAAGCTGCTGTAGAGGTTCCGGCGAGCGAGAGAGATCGGGAATAGGAAGCCAAAGTGTGGAAGAACGCGAACAGAGAGCTCAGCTTTGGTGAGGCCTCCGCCGCCGAGGTCGAAGAGCAGAGGAGTGAAGAGAGGGAGGAGCGGAGAGAAGAGGAGGGCAAGGCAGATCGAGAAGGAGAATCGGAAGTCGGCGGATATCTCGAGGAGGAGAAGGAGCACCGTTGGATTCAACCAATTCCTCTTCTGACTTCATAGTTTGGAAATTTTATCCACCGCCGCCGGCTTGCTCGGAATCGGATTGTGCTGCCTTCTCCTCTCCGTTATTTCGCTCTACACTTCCAAAATTTCGCCTTGGTTCCTGCCCCCGCCGTCGCCTCCAGGTTCTCTCTCTCCGGCTAGTTCTCCGAATCTGGTGAGTTACTTTATACATAGATGACCACAACAACTTATTTGATTAGTTCATTAGGTATTTAAAATGAATAATTTTTATTTTTTAATGATAATGAGATGGAATATTTAAAATTATTTTTATTTTTATTTTTTTAATTGTCACGTCACAGATTTAACGTTCAACTATGAGGGTTGATTGCCATATCAGCCAAAGTTAACTGAGTTTGACGAATAGTGACCAAATTTGGATTGTTTTACTAAATATAGCAAGCATGAATGGATTTAAATATTTCGAGTGACCAACTACATTTGCCAGCCACTTCGGGTATTTCACTGGACGGATTAATCCCGCCGACAACAGGCGCGCCACCTCTTCTTCAATGGCTTTAAGTTTGTCGCCCGTGAAGCTTCGTCGCGCCTGTTGTCTTGGTGTCGCGCTAGCTGGGACCCCAAGGGAATGTTGGGCGACTTCCCTTGGTACCCCTGGCATGTCTTCCGTGCACCATGCGAACAATTCTTTATACTCCTTCAGCAGCTTTATCAACGGTTCAATCGCGTCTCCATGGACGTGAGTTGAGACGCGTATCTTGCGCGTCGGCTCGTTTGGATCGAGGGCGACTTCGAAATCAGAATCCATTGACTCCGGGCGAGGTTCGTCTGCCCTTGTGTCGACGATGTTGGTCTGGCGGGCCTCTCCTAGCTTTGGGACCTCCCATGATGTCTCGCGCGCTTCGCCACCCCCCTCCTTAGTGGGGAATTTAAGTTTCTGGTGGCATGTTGACGGGAGAGCCATGAATTTTGCCAGGAACGGACGGCCAAAGATGCCATTGTGGGGGGATTTGCAGTCGACTATCGTGAACTCGACTTGCTTCGAGACACGTGGCTCTTGGTCCCCAAGTACGATCGGGAGAGTGACCACACCAATAACTGGGACCCTCGTGCCGGAGAAACCGACCAAGTTCCCGTGGGCGCGCTTGATTAGCCGCGGATCAATGTCCATCTGGTCGACCGTACTCTTGAAAAGAATGTCCGCCGCGCTGCCTCCGTCTATCAGTAGGCGGCGAACCTTACAGGCGGCGACGAGCGCGGTGATGATGAGCGGGTCTTTTGATGGGACCCCTCCGGGGAGTTCAGCGTCGTCGAAGCTCAGGTTGCACTTCTGTGGAGCCTCCGCCGCCGCACACTATATGGCGCGGCCGCGTTTGGTTTTTTTCTTCGGGCGGTCCCCTTCTATCGTTACTACCCCAATTTCTTTTCGCACTACGTACGAGCCTGAGGCGTCGTCGTAGTCAGCCTGTGGCGGTGGTGGGGGTTCCACAGGACGCTCTACCGGTTCCTCCGCTCCGCGAATGAACTCATTCAGCAGTCCCCTTTTTATGAGGCCTTCGATCTCATAGCGCAATTCTCTGCAGTTTTCCGTCTAGTGACCCGTGTCTCTGTGGAATTCGCAGCGCTTCTTGGGGTCCCGCATGTGCGGGAGGGTCTTCATAGGTGCGGGCCAGTTAATTTTCTAACCCTTCTCGCGCAGAACGTGGTAGACGTTCTTCACGGAGTCATTGAGGGGTGTGTAGTTTGGCGGACGCCTATCTGGCGACCGCCCCCGATGGACTTGTTCTGGCGGAGGTGGTGGGCGTCTGGCGCCGCTGTGTGCTTGCATCATCTGGTCCCGCGGCACAGGAAGCTGCTTACACGCTTGGTCTTCTTTGAGCATTTTGGTGGGTTCAAAGTGCCTGACGGAACCCGCGCCCAGCGTCTCTTCCAAAGTGATGGCTTTCTCGATCTTGACCTCTAGCTCCGTTGATAGCGTGATCGGTCTCTTTGCTAGCGCTCTTTTGAGCTCCATGCTAGTGGTGGCGTCCATGAGGTGATGGGCGGCGGTTTCTGGGGTGAGATCTCTTACAGCCATTGCCATCCTGGACCACCTGGCGTAGAACGCCCGCAAGCTTTCTCCGTCCTTTTGGCGGATGTCTATTAGCGCCTTGAGGTTGAGGGGCCTTCTTTTTTGTGACGCGAACTTCGTTGTGAACAAGAGTATGAACTCTTCGAACGAACGGATGATTCCATTGGGGAGGCGGTTATACCAGTCGAGGCATATCCCGGAAAATGTTGATGGGAATGTCCGGCACAGCGCCGCGTTAGAGTTGGTTTGGAGTTGCATCCGCAGGCAGAAGGTGCTGACGTGATCCTCTGGATCGGTTGTCCCGTTGTAAGTCGGGAGGGTGGGTGGCGTCCCGCTTAGGTGTTCCGCCATAATCTCCGCGCACAACGACTTATGTAGGGTTTTTCTAGGCGGGTTGGGGCGGAACTGTGGGGACAGGTGCTGCTCCAAGAAGCTGAGGTCCGCCCTTCCGGGCGGTTCCCATCGCTGGGCTTCAGGTGCGGGCAACTCGACCCCTGCCTGATGTGGTGGCGGGGCTGCGCCTGATTCCCCTCCTTGCGTTAGCTGTAACACGACAGGCGCCGCATTCGGTGCTGCCGCTGCTTCTCTGCTCATCATGAGCGCGATAACTTGGCTCATCTGCTTTTGCATGTCGGCGATGACGCCGTTTTGCTTTGTCACCAGCTGCCTCATCTCCTTGGCCGTCAGTTCAGACTCTTCTTCCTCAATGAGTACCGCGTCACGGTTGCTGGCTTCCGCGAGTTCCGCGAACACCCTAGGGGCCGTCATCGCCTTGATGGGGGTTACCTCGCCGGGTATGTTGGAGTCTTGTTCTGCCATTTTTCTTCTCAGCCCCACGGTGGGCGCCAATTGTTTGAACCTAACTGAGTGTAGGAGTGAGGTTCACGAGAACGGGTCGAGAAGAATGAATGACTTGGTTAACCGAGAACTTTTAGACAAATGGAAGGAAGAATAGAGTTGAGAGAGTGTCTTTAGTGAGAGAAGTTCGTTCTTTCTAGAGATAGAGAGTGATTCTCCAAAAATCTCATCCCCTCACCCACCTTTATAGGCTACATGGTGGTGGGTGAGTTACATGACGGTACGATGACGTGACCACTACGGTATGGTGACATGACCGCTGACATGTCAGGAACATAGACCATCCCCCTATGGGTGACAAGACCTTTAGCCATGACTATACCTAGGACTATGATGGTGACTACCCTTTGGGTGACGCGACGCCGCTTCTACGACCTCTCGGCAAGGGCCCACGCTTGTCCAAAGCGTCGTCGTTTAGCGTCCATGCGCGGTCTCCGGAGGTGGTCTTTACGCTCGCGCTTGACTCCGGCGTGACTCGCGCGTTTGACTTTGGCGTGAGTATCCTTGGGTATTTCTTCGGCGTGGTGAGATCCGGTTCATATCCCCAACAGTAATCTACCAACAATGCAATTAAGTCAAAAGATAATGGACCTCTTTGCCTTGTTTCCCACTTACATTATGTAAGTATATTACTAAAATACACATAAAAAGTATTTTACGAAAAAGTGTAAGTATTTATTTAAACAAAAGGTTAGTTACATGTTAACTGTTGGCCGTTTTAGAAGTTGGCCACGGATTAACTGTTGTTATTTATTTATTTACAATTCATGTAATGGAGTACTTGATATATAGTATTTCCTCCCTTTGTTATTTAAACGTGTATAAATCAACACACGAAACAAACTCAAACTTTTCATGCTGATGATCGCTCTCGTGATCGCTCTCTCGTTCCTGTTTTTGTTCAAAGTTACGAGGGGCTCGCATATGATCTAGATGTAAAGCTCTTAGTACTTGTCATGCAACAATGTGATGTCTCACTTATGACAAACACGATTTTTTAAAATGCCTAGCCTAGCTTCTTAATCAAAATATCAGACAAAAAGATTCATCTCATCCATTAAGTCGACGTATCCCAAAATGCAAGGCTTTGTGCATTTTTCATAGTAAGTGAAGCAATGCTACATGGATCACAATTCACAGCAACAACATAGACTCTCTCATCGATGATTCCACCTGCCAACTCTTTGAAATATCTACGGAAATAAATAAATAACTCAGATCCTTTCCCCGTTTAATTCAAACCCGAACATTCCATGCAAGAAAAAGGAAACAGATAGAATAGTAGGAGGCAGTATCCAAACTTCAAACAACAAATAAGAGAACTTAATAACATCCAAATCTGTCCAACAGAATTCCTAAAATAAGACCAAAATTGTCCCCAAAAAATTCAGTAAGCAAGCAAGCTTTTTCTTCTCCGTCTTCTCTCTTCTTTACGCATTGCTTAGCGAGATAGATTAGGATAGAACTATGCAAGAAAAGATGACAAAACAAGAGCTTCAACATCAAGCACAGTGCAGAATCCTTACGAGATAGAACACCAGCAACCTTGAAAGCAAAGCCACACAATAATAAGGCAACCCAACCGCTGTGCTATGGACATACACAGACGTCTCACAATCTCGGCAAAGCACAAATCTTTTTCAGGACGACCTTCACTGTTTTTTCTGAAATCATTCCATTCATTCCTTCCTTTATTTACTCACATTGATCCAAGCTCACATTTCTCCCATGTCGGCTTCTGACACTCTAATTTCCTGGTTTCGATATTTCTTCACTGCTCCGCAACAGAGAGTTGTGCTTGCTCTCCTCCAGCCATCATCAATTCTTGCCCTTCATCTGGCTCGATTTCACTAACCTTAGCTCTCGGAGGACCGACGACTTCATTAGCTTCCTGCTCAGCTGACGACGATGGGAGTTTCACGTTGTCGTTTGTTGCTTTGGTTTCACCTCCAGTTTTCCCGTTGGTTTTGGTCAGTTTGGTCGTCTGAGATGGAAGCCTGGGGAGTGACTTCCGGAGTGGCTTTTTAGAAAGGGCAGGGGCTACCTCTTTTGGTGTAGGAGTATTCTGAGAGACTTTGGCATTCAAACTTAGTCGGCCTAATGCTACTCCACTTGCCTCCATGTTATTTCCATCAGCATCTGCAAGTGATGAGCTCTTCCTTCTACCTAATTTGGGAGATTTGGGTCTTGTTGTGGGTATCTGGATAAAAATTAGGTTAACCTGTGATGAGCTCTTTCAATGGTATTATGAGATGATAAATAAAAGGATTCTATCAACTCCAGGGAAGGATTAACAACTCTTGTGCACCCAATTTCAGAGAAAGTAATCACCATAGAGCATTCAATGCGACAATTGACAAACCACAATTCAGCTAACGAGCAACTATATAGACAATTGAAATGATAGGAAAGTGAGAAATGAAAGCAAACAGTTTACCTTCTTCAACTCCGTCCTTTCTGGGGGAGGCTCCTGATAGAAGGTAGGCATTGGTGTTGCCTTAAAGGTCAAACTCTTCCTCAGCCGCCTGAGTTCGGCTTCTTGGCTTTCCTGTAAAGAAATAAGGTAAGTTTCTGTATTCACATATATAAAATCATGTATAAAATACAGTAGATCAAAAGTCATTTTAATACAACCTTAGACTTGGCCTGCATGTTATTCTTTTCTTCTTCTTTCGCATGGATCTTCTCCTCAAGTTTGGTGTAGAACTGCCCAGCGCAGAGAGAGACATTACGAGATGTAGTTGACAACAAGAGAAGCCTGCATTTTTATAAATTTATAATCGACCAAGTTTAAGCACAACACTGACCTCCCTCCTTTTCTCCGCCCGCTCATCACACTTGAAGCTAAAGCCATAGTTTGGAAGTGCTCCAGTCTTACGAGGTTTACCATCACTTCCAGTGGGACTTCAGTCATTGTTAAGGACTAACTCATGTAAAAGAGAAGAAAAAAATTTCGGCAAGAGATTGAGGATGGGACCAACTAAGCATGTATAGACGACAAATAAAACGTTTGCAACCACTTAAGGATACGAAGAAGATTGCCTATCTCCATCAGCTTCAGCCATGGGTGCTTTCTTCAACGGTTTCAATGTTGTCTTCTTTCTGTATGAAACATCGAAATCAAAGTAGCAAAATAAAGGTAAGAAAATTTAGGACCCTATGTTGGGAACATGAAAAGCAAATTAAGACTTTCAAGTTACAAAAAGACTTATTTTTGCAAAAAGTATCTGAACGACTTTCATATTCATTTCATTTATGAAATATTATTTCAAGTCGAGGTTTCCAGAGGACAACAAACATACATGAGGGATTCAGATGATGCCGCTTCAGACTTTCCAGATAGCTGTTAGAAGCAAAGAACGAAGTAAAGATAAGCATCCTGAAACTCACTAACGATACTCTTAAAAGCAAGGAGGTGAACAATATACCTTTGTGGCCTGGGCCTGCTTCTCGCTGAAGGATTTAGCCTTAGAGGGCAATTTTGCTCGTGAATTCTGAATCGCAGTACCATTAGCAACAGTAGGGGGTGCCACACCTTTGAAGTCTTTGCCCTTTAGCAGCTGTGCCCCTGATGCTTTTCTGGGGTTCGAAAGCTTCTCATTCTTGCTCTTTCCTGGAACTTGCACCAATTGTGCTTTCTCTGAATAGTCTGCGTCTTTCACTCCCTCTCCTTCCTAAAAAAAAGAAACGAAAAACACTGTGAGAGAGGTTTGAGAAATCTACTCCTGTAAGACGGAATAAAGAAAAACCAACCTTGGCAACAGCCAAGTCATGGTCTTCAGCAGTTACATTAGAGCCTTCAACGGTCTCAACACCGTGATCGAATGTAGCTCCATTCATGTTGCTATAGAAAACATCATCCCCCCCAGAGACAGCATTGTGCTCATGGCCACCATTTTGATGGTTCATCTCAAACTCATCAGTGAGCAGAACTCCGTCCATATCCATCACACTCTGCAAGGACCAAGATTTTGAATCATACACAGGACTGGAGATTGCCCAACGCAAGCAAAAGACAAAGACTGCATGGGAAAATAGATGAATTTATCCACTACATCATGAAAAGTGACCTTAAACTAGTTACCCGTGAATGTCATCTACAATGTATCATTTTTTTCGAGCAGTTTGGCTGATCAAACAAGACAAGTCTTGAAAACCCCATACTTCTTTGTATGAAAGGAATCCATCCATCACACAGAAAGTCGGCAAAATATATTTAGCAATGGGGAATCAATCAGCACCCTAAAACCGTGAAGCCAACAAGCAGAATAAAACAAACAACAACCCTCCAAAAGGTTGATAATTTCTTGGCAGACACAGCTCGCCAAGAACAAATTTCAAGGATTCTTGTTAGCGCCCGAAGAAACTAGATAAAAGGATAACAATGGGAGTTCCAAATACCGTTACCTAGCATAACTTAGACGCTTAAAGAAAAACCGTGAACTCCACCCAGTCAAATCATCTTCCAATAGCCAGAATATAATCCATTAGATTCCAGAAAGAAAGCACAAATTCGAAGGGGGCAAACATCCAGCGAGTCACTCTGATGTACAGTAAGATTCCAGAGAAATCACCAAACAGTATCTTGGATCTAACCGCACACCCCAAAAGCATTCCCAAGACGCAAATCCATCACTGCAAATTTCAAGATCGTAACCCCGCCGAGGCCAGACGAATATGCTCAAAGCAAAACCCACTCATTTTCACCTGAATCTCACTGGCATTTCACAGCTATATATATATATACTCCTTAAACAAGGTTCACTTTCTCTCATCACCAACCAGACAGGCAATAGGGGGGAAAAAGACGCAGCATTCGCAAAGCTTTACCTACAGCTCGTGCACGCCCGCCGCAGTAGTCACAACTCCATTCGCAGAAGGAATACGAGAGGATCTGGCTGAGACAATTTGAGAAGCAGCAGTAGAAGTACGCCGGATCCGAACAGGAGAGCGGAGCGATCCAACTTTGCTCCAAGTGAGCCGCGGTGCTACAGTGGTTCTTAAGTAGGAATGGTGGCGGCGAGAGGGGAAGTCGCAGTTGGGCGAGTTGTGGAAAGGGGAGGATTTGGGATGGGGAGAGGGCGCTTCTCTGTCTTCTTCACAAGTCTTCGAACACAGCGGCTTTCAAATCCATTTCAAGGTCACAACAGAGAGAAGGAAGAGAGAGAGAGAAAGGGGCTTGTGAATGAGTGAGAGCGTGAGTGAGCGGACGAGTTACACGAGTTATCGGTGGGTGGAGAACTGGAGTTGGAGAGATGGAGGAGATCGGAGGGAAGGGGGGGAATACGAATACGTGTACGGTTACAGAGGAGATGGAATAATACGGTTATACATTTCTACGGGTTTTAATGGAGGAAAAGGCGGAAGGTAAAATAGGCAGGTATTTACCGGCGGTTAACTGGTTAAAGTAGAAAGTAACTGCCGTTTTACCACTTGTGCAGCTTTATTATTGTTTGGCCAATACTATGGTGCCGCTCTATAAAGTGCGGCACAGTCACGCGGCTTGTGATTGGTCCACGCGAACATAACATGGCGCTGATTTGTTTTCTTAGTAAACCTAAACCCGATAGCCTGGAATATAACTCAAACCAATATTGGCCCAAATAACCACTGATTCCGTCTTTCCAATTCCCATCCGTTTGGCGTTTAACTTTTCGGCTAGTATAATTGAATTAAAAAATCACTTAAGTTTTAAATAATTTATTTTTCTCCTGAAATAGAACAACGATGAATAAAAAGGCACAACAGGGATCGTCTTCCTCGATCTGATGCTCTGACTGTGAAAAGAACCAACTTTTTGACGAACTTCGTCACCGGTCCAATCTGGAGTATGTACCTTATGAATCCACTAAAATCCACCATATGCGTCCTCCTACATTCATTCTGTAAAACAAAACGTTAAATTCCTAATTCACAACGACCTTTGTCGCGTTCGAGCTACTCTGCGGCCATCGTACATGACGATCTGAAATCAAAGGAAGGATCACTCCCGATCAAACTCCCTCTGTGTCGTCCTCTTAGGCTTGCGTGCCCGCCCTCACTATTGGAATCGTCGAAACTAAATCACATTATTCGTAGTGACTCTCACGACGCCTGCAAATGGTTCTAGGTAATTCGAGCATTTGTATGTTGTGCATTTGTCAAGTCTCAAATAGTAGTTCTTGTTGTTGGTTACTGGAGTCATTTGTGGCAGCATACTTCAAGCCTATAGATGTAAAATAAAAAGATGGAGAAGTTGTTGAAGCACTAGGTTTTGATGGGTCATGGGGTTCATGGGATTGTTTTTATTTGTGACATGACAAAAGCTTGTATTTATTTTATCTGCATTGGTGAAAGATTTTGGGGTTTTATGTTATGATATTTGGAGGACTAGTTTTCCACAAAGCTCACAAGGCTTGCCTTGCAATGATCCATATGTTGTCTAATCCATAGCTACAAGTTTACTTTCCATCGTTCGTCCCATAAGCAACTTCTAGCAACTTCTTTGTATGTGATGAATACACTGGCTGCTTCTTTTGCATGAAACAGGATTCCTTTTGATGAAATAGTTGAGAGAGATAGTTGCTGACGATGAAGCAGTTTTATCTAGCTGGGGGAAGTTAACAGAGCAGGAGAACCAAAATTAGAATTGATTTTGACCATTGAAGTCAACTTTCAACGTCTGAAGAAGGAGGAAGCCAATATTGTCAAAGTGCACCGTTTTACCCCAAAGTGATGCGTTCTACATATCATGTCTGTCTTTTGTTTCCTTCTCTGTCAAGGATATGTTTGTTTCCTTTCTAAGCTAAAGAACACAGCAAATGTACAAGTTGTTCTATGTTGTCCTATTGTGATGTAAACAGACTATTTAAGCATCATCTCAATGAGAAACAATCCAAGCCTTCTAGGGTTTCAAACCTCCTTTCTACTTCTTTGTTATGGTATCAGAGCCCTAACAAAGTTCTGTTGCCGCCGCCACCATGGCTGATCAAACCCAAGACAATACCACTGAAACACAACCCACAGATCATCGACAGAATGCCACTACCAGCTCAGATTCACTGCTTGGAACTCATTACCAGCTGGAGGATCCTTTCTATCTCCACGGATCTGAGCAGCCTGGTCTTCTGTTGGTTGCTGAAAAACTCAACACCACTAATTACAACGACTGGAGCCGAGGTATGCTGAATGCATTGGCTGCGAAGAACAAGCTGGGATTTATCCATGGTTCTATCCTTGAACCTGGAGACTCAGACCCACTCAGAGGCATTTGGATGCGCAACAACGTCATGATATTAAGCTGGATACAGCAAGCTGTTGAGCCAGAGATAAGAAAGACTATCCTGTCCACAAAGACCGCTTTTGAAGCTTGGAGAAGCCTGCAATCCCGCTATGGTGCTGGTGACATCATTCGCGTTGCAGAGATTGAGGAAGCCCTTTCAAACCTGAAACAAGGTAATGACACCATCACTGAGTATTATGGTCGAGTCATCACTCTCAAGGATGAGCTCGATAATTACCAACCACTTCTTGCTTGTGATTGTACACCTACAAGTCATAGGGATTGCAGAGCTATGAAGAAAGTTTATGAATACCATGACACTAACTATGTTATCAAGTTCTTGCGTGGTTTGAATGAAAATTTCTCAACGGTTAGATCACAAGTTTTATTTGGGGAAGAGTTACCCACTATCAACCGTGTCTTTCAACGGATGCTTCAACATGAAAGACAACTCTATGGTACTCAAAGGGGCAAAACTGTTGCTTCTGATCCTATTGTACTCAGTGCTCAAGGCTCCAATCGACGTCCTGGTTCAAACCCTAAGAGACCCTACTGTACCTATTGCAAAAGGGATGGCCATACAGAAGAGATCTGTTACCACAAACATGGCTGGCCCCCTGGAATGACCAGATCTACTCCTTCTACACAAAACAGAGTGCTTGAATGTACATTCTGTAAACGCCAAGGCCATACTGAGGACCGTTGTTATGCCAAGCATGGTTTTCCACCTCGCAACCAAGGCATTCAGGGTAAAGGCAAAGAGTTTGCTAACTCTGTCTCTACTGATCAAGAAGAACAAGTAGTCAAGCTTACAAAGGCTGACTACGACAAGCTAATGACTCTCATGAACTCTTCAAAGGGATCTGGTTCTTCTTTTACTGCTGCAGCCTATACAAAATCTTTTGCCAATTCAGGTAAATATCTCCTATCAGTACCTCTACATGGCAAAGATCCCAAACTTAACACCACTTGGATTGTTGATACTGGAGCCTCTGATCATATTGTTTGTTCTTTGGATTTACTACAAAATTACAAACCAATCTCAGACATTTTTATCACTCTCCCTACTGGTCAACAACTCCAAGCCACTCACATTGGCTCTACTACTTGCAATGAGACCCTCTTCTCAAAGATGCCCTCTTTGTTCCCAATTTTACTTTCAACTTACTTTCTGTCAGCAAGCTCACCAAAACCAGTTCTCTTTGCTTAACTTTCTACTCTGACTTTTGTCTTATACAGGACTTGAGGCTGAAGAGCATGAGTGGTTCTGCTAGACTGTCTAATGGACTTTACCTCTTAGATCTAGACTCTAATCCTAAACTCATCACTGCTGCTAGGGCTACTTCTTTTGATTTATGGCACTTCAGGTTGGGTCATGTTTCCCATTCCAAAGTGCCATTCCTTTCTCAATTTTGCACCTCCATTGAAACTCATCGAGATAGACCCTGTGATGTTTGTCACTTTGCTAAGCAAAGGAGACTTTCTTTTCCAGTTAGCCAATTTGTAACAACTAAACCATTTGAACTACTTCATGTGGATATTTGGGGCCCTAACCCAGTTCCTTCCTTTGATGGCTACAAATATTTTTTGACAATTGTTGATGATTATTCTCGTGTCACATGGATTATTCTGTTAACCCTAAAGTCTGAAGCTATACCTAAGCTCATCTCTTTCTGTAAACAGGCTGAAAGGCAATTTCAAACTATTGTTAAAAGAATTAGATCAGACCAAGGGAAAGAATTCCACATGGCTGATTTTTTTGCTTCCACAGGAATCATCCATGAGATGTCCTGCATTGAGACACCTCAGCAAAACAGTAAGGTAGAGAGAAAACATCAACACATTCTATCAGTTGCTCGGGCTTTGAAATTCCAAGCTGATCTGCCAACTGGTTTTTGGGGGGATTGTGTGAAACATGCAGTTTTCTTGATTAACAGGGTTCCAACTTCTATTCTTTCAAACAAAACTCCTTTTGAGGTTCTTTACAACAAACCTCCAGACCTTTCAGACTTAAAGGTTTTTGGTTGTCTTTGCTATGCTAGCACTCTAGGCAACCATAGAACTAAATTTCAGCCAAGGGCTAGAAAAGGGATCTTTCTTGGTTATGTCTCGGGATTTAAGGGATATAAGATTTATGACTTAGCTTCACATGATACTTTCATTTCTCATGATGTGATTTTCTATGAAGATCATTTCCCATTCAAACATCCCATCAGTAGTGATATTCCAACCACTCTTGACCATTCTACCCAAGACTTGTTTCCTTTACCTACCCCAACCTATTCTGATGATGATACATCACCCCCTTTTTCACCACAGCCTCTTCCTATTTCAGAACCAACTTCACCCTCTCCATCTCTTAATTCATCTGATCCACCAAACAACTCACCATCTCCACACTCCCCAGAATCACCACAAACCTCCCCTACACTCCCTTCTCCACCTACTATTCCTCAACCCCCATCTCCACCTCTCCCAAACCCCACCAGAAAATCTACCCGTACCTCTAAACCACCCACTCACCTCACCAAAGACTACCACTGCTACCTCCTACAACAGTCTGGCTGTACCACTTCATCCTCTGCACCTCAAGCTCCTAAGACAAGGTACTCACTCTCTTCTGTCCTCTCTTATGCTAATTTGGCTCCCCACCACAGAAATTTTTTACTCAACATCTCTTCTTATGTGGAACCAAACTCATACAAAGAGGCATCTCTCTCTGATGAATGGAATGTTGCAATGCAGCTTGAAACTCAAGCATTGATTAAAAATCATACTTGGGATATTGTGGAACTACCCCTAGGGAAGAAACCTATTGGTAATAAATGGGTTTATAAGGTTAAATTTCAACCTACTGGTCTTCTAGATCGTTTCAAGGCAAGGTTGGTTGCCAAAGGCAACACTCAGCAAGAGGGGATTGATTTTCAGGACACTTTTGCCCCTGTTATTAAACTGACCACTGTCAGGACCTTTTTGGCTGTTGCAGTCCTCAGAAACTGACATATTCACCATTTAGATGTGAATAATGCATTTTTACACGGGGATTTGGAAGAAGAGGTTTATA